CTTCTTAGGCATCAACATGCTGTGACTATGCAAAGCCCAAACAGAAGGAGGTGAAAAATACTGACATTGTGGGAACTGAGATGTATGAGTATTTTCATCCCACACCCTTCCACTCCCCTTTCTCAGAAAAAGTCCAAGATCCAAGTCTCTTTTGATGTTTTGGTTTGTTTTTATGGTGTTAGATGGGCCTTTGCCATCACTTCCTCACTACAGAGCAGTCAAAAACATGGGAGTTCACATCAGTACTGGGGTACCAGAGGGAAATAGAAGCACTGGATAAGAAAACCAAGGTATTTATCAGTGCTAAAATTTAGACAGCACCAACGGTTTTTGAACCAACACTATAAATTTACTTGTGGTGGGTTTAGCTGTGCTCAGGAGGAGGAAGATTGTATATAGTAGACACAAGCAAATGCCCAAGGAACGTTCCTAGATTCTTGCTAAGAAGAATTGCAGAAGGCAGAGGTTGGCAAGGAAGCTACTACTTCAAACAGCATAGAAATGTAAAAAGTTAATCAAAATGAATTTCTTTATTATTCTTATCCTATCTACTTTCTAATAAAGGACCTAATGTGCACAGAAATGGTTTTTCTATACTGCATAAAATGAAGGTTGAGTATTAGACAATTAAAGGATATACAGTTAAAAAAAGTCATTCGTTATCTGAGATATAATGCTGTAACTGTTCCTGGTTTACTCATTATAGCAGTTCTTCTTTTATATAAAGTACATTGCCATATTAACTATGACCTTACGCTAAAAATTCAGGGCACATATGATTTGTTATAGCTTCCTATGTGACCACTATCTTCATTTTGATGCATATCTATTTCTCATTCTGTCTCCTTCTAAGAAATTACAGATTATATGACATCAATGCAAACTAAAAATTTTACAAGAAGTTATTGATGACTGTCATAATAAATTTAACCATTTAAAACTCTTAAGAAAAGGTTTATAAATTAGCTACATGCATTTTTTTTAACTTCGTATTTTCCAACTTTCAAATTTTTGGCCTTTATCTTACATTGAAGTATCTTACCTTATTGTGATTAAAATCTTTAACCAGAATTATCTGGCTGGCTGAAAATTATGTACTTGTCTGACTGGGATTTTCCTGATTATTGTAATCACTTCTTACCAAACTTACCTCATATCAAAAAAAAAAAAAAAGCAAAGAATTCTAACTCAGAAATCAGAAGTAAGGACAGGGTGGCCATGTAACTTGTCTGCTATCCCATAGATAATTTGGACAGTGATCCTTAAACAATTTAGAACAGGTTCCAACTAGTATAATTTCAGATTGCAAATTCCTCCCAAATCATAATTACCACCTGATTTTTGTTCCAAGAATTCTGTAGTAAGAGTTTTATTTCATTTGTTTAAAATACTTATCCTTCAAAACAAAACATTTTGAACAAAGAGGTTTTTATTATTTAAACATTAGGCTTAATATTATAGTTCCCTTTTAAAGGTATATACTCATTGGTAAATCTTTAAAGATGTCAGGCACTTGAATAGAGGAAGAAATGAAACTAAAGGTTTTCCATTTCTGCTGGCAAGTGGGGCCTGCATAAGCTTCAGGCCTCTGTGGCACAGAAATGTGCTACAGTTCTTAATGATGGGCCCCACTTCTATTATCTCACTCTTGGCCTGCAATCCTAGCTTCCTAGGAGGTTGAGATCTGCAGACTGTGAATGCCACGGGTGGGGATAATGTGGGCTTCTTCGATGGGGCATTAGCTCAGCTAGGTAAGGCTGCTGTGAGACACCAGGTCAGGTGTACCCTGGCATACCACACCTCCAGCTTGAGCTAGCATATTGGGCTCCACCTGGCCATGGTCAGTGCTCACTGCCCATGTTCCAGCTTGCCCAGGCCACTAACTCTGCCACTCCACTAACCCACTGCTACTTCTTAGTGGGGATTAGTAGACTGGCTGTGTGGTGAATGGCTAGGGAGTCATGCCAAAAAAAAGTTCACCAAAAATCTGAAGATGAATTAAGGTCCAAAAACAAAACTCTTAAGACTTAAGGAGAGATTATTTTAATTAACTTACTAGTCCAGAAAAAATAGGAGCACACCCACTCAGCAGAAAAGAAACTTATTCATTTATTATGTTTCCAGTGATAACCACCATCATCTTATGAAGAATATTGACAGTTTGGCACTCTTTTGGCAATAAGTTTTTCCTAGAGGCATAAGTGAACAATGTCAAATTAAATTATATGACTTTTCAGTTTGGATCAGGTATCCATCCAGGTGACCAGTCCACGATACAAGATCATACAGAGCGGTGGTACTGTTAGGGATTCACTCTCCTAGATGTTCATATAAGAGAGGTGCGGGATGGGCAGTTTTCCCTAGAGATATATACTCTAGTATTAAAAAAGAGCATTGAAGAAAATATTGCTTAACAAAGAAAAAATAAGGCACCCATGATTCTAGCATGTAAGAAATAAGTTAAATAAGGAAATCAGTCTCTTTTTTTTTGAGAAGAAAAGGATTAAAATTATTATAGACAGAAGTGACAGAAATAAAGATAGTGCTCATGATGAAATAACACAGAGGGATATGCTAAATGGCTTCAAGTTAGGTGACACCATGGGGAGAGGCTAGATAGGAGGCTGGAAGGGAGGGGAGTTTAGAAGGGAGGTAAGGCTGGAGTTTTCTAGAGAGAAATATGTTACTTGCACATTAAGTTATTAAGACACACTTATTTCGCAATGGGAGGTTTTCTTCAGAGAAAAGATTTAGTCCTCAAAGGTTTGCTTTTATGACTATAGAAGGATTAAGTAGTTTAGGGCAACTCCAATGGCAGAGATCCAGTTAGTGTATCTTGAAAGAGACCAAGAAAAAGACCTTTATGTGTTGAATAAACTTAATGACAGACTAAAGGAGAAATCAGTGTCTAAATGGCAGTGCTAACAAGTGGGTGGAAGGATTGGGGCTAGAGGAAAATACTTGTTTAAGGTAATTGAGCAAAGGCTTCAGTAAAGTGAAGTTGTGCAACATGGGTGGGGAGAGTCATTCTGGGCAAGAGACAAGGGAAGCACAGTATTTCGCAAGTATATAGGGAAGTAACATTGGAAGAAACCCAGGATTTCTGATGTGAACACCTGTAGTTATAAAAATACCCTTTTATAAAATGTGAAAGAGTAGGACAAGAGTAAGTTTAAATGAGGAAATTGAGTTCATTTTTAACTGGTGATAATAGCTCAGTTAGTAGAGAGCTTGCCTTGCATGCTCAAAGCCCTGGGTTCAATCCCCAGCACCACCAAAAAAAAAAAAAAAAAGTATCAGTGGAGTTAATTTTTAGACACATTAAACACAAGATGGTTTTTAAACAACAAGGCAGATAAGTAGGCAAGTAGGAAGTATGTTTTATAAATCCTTAGATTAGAAGAAAGGGTTGGAGCAGTGACTTTGGGGAGCCATCAACAGGAAATCACATTTAAAATCATAAGACTTAATAAGATTGGGATTTCTCTGCCAGTTTATGACAGGTCCATGATATACAGAGGCATTTTTTCTTTATCTTCATCACTTGACAATAATCCATGCACACACATATGAGTGATAAAATATATTCTCAATGAACATTTAAAAAATGAGTATGTGCATAAGTAAATTGAAATAAGAAGAGGGTCAATAGTCTGGAAGAATGAGATTAACAAAGCCGATCTCTAACTCAGTTTGAAAAACCCATTTAAAGGGCTTTAACCAGATGACAACATAGGGTTTTAACTATCTGACCCTATAAATGCATGGCTTTTTTCCCCAAAGTGTAATAACATTGACCTATTGACACAAATTTTGACACCAATCTTCACTTTCCTTAAAAGGACAACTAAAGGACCCCACCCCATGGAGCCTTTTAAAATGGTCTATGATATCTTTAGCTGGTAGAAAAGAATGCCATTAACTCATTGAAATCCTTTATATTATTTAAACAGACAATAGCTACTTGCTTTTTTTTTTTAAACAAATGACATCTAAAATACTTTCTCTTTAATTACAGCAAAAGGAAATTGTTTCATTGGAAGTGTAACTTCGGGAATTTGCTTACTCCCATTTTGGGTGCAGGAGGTATCAGGGATTGAACTCAGGAGCACCTGACCACTGAGCCATATCCCCAGCCCTATTTTGTATTTTATTTAGAGACAGGGTCTCACTGAGTTATAGGGTCTCCCTGAGTTGCTTAGCATCTCACTTTTATTGAGGCTGGTTTTGAACTCCCAATCCTCCTGCCTCAGCAACTCCAGCCACTAAGATTATTGGTGAACGCTAACACGTTCACTTATTCCCATTTTTAAGTCATGTGGACAATGAATTATTCCCATTAGAGAGACCTAAAGGGCAAAAGGTAACCTCAGTGCAGAAAAGAAATTGAAAGAACATTCTGTGAGGAAAATAGGGGCAAAAGAAAACACCTTTAAGCAGAATGAATTTCATTGACAGCACTGTAACATGGATTTGACAAGGGCCATCAGGCTAAGAACAGATAGGACATAAAGAAGAGTGGGAGAGTAGAGGGGCCTGCAGTTGCTTACACTGCATATTTTGGAAGAAGAGAATTAGTTAATGACCTATAGACAGGGAAAAAAAAAGCATATTTGAATTAAGTCCACACAAAATTTCTGGGATGAATTGTACAAGTAAGATAAAGTTAACTTATCTCACTTGCTTCCTCTTTCTTTCATTATTTTAAGAAAGTAATTAAGCAACCTTGATCACATTTTATGATGATACATGGGAGGAGAAAGTGCAGATGGCAGTAAAAGAATGAGAAAGTCATTTTACTGAACTCTTTCCTGAGGCTGCTTTAACAGTCCCAAGATCATAGCCCCTGTATTTGATTTGGATCACTTTGGGTATATGTGTTTCTACTCATTACAGTTTGTGGTAGTCTCATGCTTTCTGATTCACTAGGTTAATCTATTTAGGAGAAAAACTGTTATGATAGTTTTTAATGATAAATAGTGTTTTATTTCCTTCTTCAGTGATGATTCGAGTTATGTCTCTGGATGATTATTTGAAGCCTGTTGAGGAAATGGTAAGTTATACTTGGAAATATGTTGAGCATATACATAGTTCTGTTTCTTACCTTATAAAATTAATCTATGAAAAAAAAGAGATCAGACTTAAATTGTTAGTTCTGTGTTCCCATTAGTCAGTCTATGACCCATGGTGTTCCTCACTTAGAATTATAATACTTCTTCTTCTCCCTCATCCTCCACTTCTCCTTCTCGCCCTACTCTTCCTCCTTCTTTCCTCTCTCCCCTCATCCTCTTCCTCCTTTTTCTTCTCCTCTCTCTCTGTATCTCTCTCTTCCCCCTCTCTCTTTCTCCCTTTCCCTCGCCTCCCTCCCCCCTCTCCCCCTCTCCCTCTTCCTTCTCCCTCTGTGTCTCTCTCTTTGATCAACAAAATAAATATATTTTCCAATTTTAATCAGAATTCTATAATTTACTGAACTCCCACCACTATAAAGCACTGTGCTACGTAAACTGTTATCCAAAGATAGAGAAGATATAAATCATTGATTCCTCCCAAATGATTACATTAGAACTGAGTTTGTTGGGAAGAACAAAAATTACCATAAGGGAAGTGGCATTAAAAACATAAAAGAAAATGAATCATTGTATCCTTGGCATCTGGAAGAAAAGAATATGGCAGATCATAGGTTTTAAAATTATATAGTGGGTAAATTCTGTATTGAGTGAATGAGTATTATACAGCATGAATAACATTGTATAATGCTTGCATGAATGAATTTATAATGTCTGAATGAAAGCATTATGGTTGCTTCATATTTTAAATTATCAAGAATGTTAAGTGAGTCTGCTTTAATAGTCCCAAGATCTTAGTCCCTATATCAAGAGAAGCATTAATTTAAGTCATTTCCTCAGAATCAGATTCTGAGACAGAGAAAAATGAAAGAATAAATTATTAAGGAAGTGCTTCAAGAGAATTCAATATGGGAGTTGTGGGAAGCAGGACAGTGTGAAGGAAGAAGCCAAGCATGTGTGCAACTGGTTTCAGGCTAAGTCATCAGCCTGATGGGCAGGAAGCTCCAGAACACATGTTATAATTCAGTGTTTGTTCCATTTTTAGAAATATTTTCATATTTCAGCACCAGACAGTTGTTGGTTGGGGGAGTCCCCTATGTAGAAATAACCTCCCAGGAACTTGCCAAGAGGCCCAATGACAGGGCTCTCAAGAAGTTCAAAATTAAATGCTGCTAGTAGGAACAGAGCTCAGGGAAATTGGGGCTGGGTGCAAAGAACCAGAAAAAGTGATCTGATAGAGAGCATTGGCTACATCTGCTACAGGTGTCAGGGAGAGGTGAAGCTAAGCCACTCCTTAAAAAACAGATGATCCAATGGTTAAATTAGGGATAGTAAGATATTTAGAAAGGGATTCGTGAGAACTAGCCATTCTGTTGTGGTGTCCCACATTGACTCATCGACTGAGCAGTTACATCAAAGCTTGTTAAGCTTATAGAAGCTAAATAGATGGTTTCTCTGTAGGTTGACTATTTCTTTCTCCTTCCAAATAATCCTCATCCTTCAATAGTTAAGACATCATCTCTTTTAATGAACATCTTTTTTCCCCATTTCCTATAGCTACAGTAATCTTGTAGAATTGCTTCTTATTTTTTAACTTCTAGAACATATACCTATTTTGAATGCTAAAAATTCTTTTAGTAATTTCAATCCTAAATCACTTCTAGGAGACACCAAATGCTCCCTGTTCTCCTTGGTTCAAGGTTGAAAGTCATTTTGTTTTTAAGGATGCTTTAAAACAAAGCAGCAAATATTTCTACTGTAATCATTGAGTCAAACATAACTAGCCTTGACTAGGAGGACCATGGGAAAGTGCAGGGTCCCCTGAAAATCTGAGGGTCTCCCTTGTTAGGATCTTCTACCAGTATTGTTTGTTTGTATTGTCAATAAAACCAAATATTATCATCTTATTTCCACATTTAGTAATTATTGCATTTACACGAATCAAATAGAATCAAATAATTCTTCTTCAAATATTGGTCACAGAAAATAATATCATTTGTATCAGTCACTTCTGGGAAAGATTCTATGGCATAGCAAAGAACATTTACTTTTGTACCGAGATCAAAATTAATGTAGCCTTTCCAAAAATGGTAATGATTTGAAGATTACATTTTGTGTATTTTCAGACCAATATTTCTAAGGTCAACCACTGTTTCAGTATCATATTCCATTTAAATAAGTGACTCAATATATGGTTCCTTCTACAAGATCAGGAATTCATAGTAATTTTGATGACAATTACCAAAACATAGTAGTGATATAATTATCAAACGGACAAAGATATAGAGCATGCACCTAATTTCTCCTTCCCAGTCTTCTTTCCCTTCATTCAGAAGGTGACATGAAGATGGTCTTGGTCCTGGGCTGGTTGTGCAGATTAATTTTTTACTAGAGAAGATTCAACTCCATTTCAATCTTTGTTTTTGGAGAAAACTAGCATCTTAGAACAATGATATTATACTTTTACTTGATTTTTGCATACTAGTTTTGTGAAGTACTCTATCCTTAGTAAAAACTAGACAAAGTAATAAAGATTTTAAATATTAAACACAATGAAAATCATCTGCACTGGAAGCATCACAAATAGTTTTTAAAAAAGAGATAGTACTCTAACTTTGACCCTCATTATTAGAATTTGGTCCAAGTGGTCAACCTCTCCCTATGCCACCTATGGATAAGAGTTATTTATTTCTCTCCTGTGAGGAGTCTCATGAGAAGATCTGTATCCCTTAATGTTTGAGTTAATAACACATAGTAGTTATCTTCAACACCATCCTGACATTTCATCAAAGAAACCCATTTTATGATTCTATAATACAAATAGATACCCCAATTCTGCTCCTTTATTTTTCAGTTCTAAGAATTCCAAAAGCTATGGATCCTGTTTGTATTTCTCTACATGTATGTTTTATCATTTTATTAGATTTATCATGTTTTACAGTTTGTAGGGAGTAGCACTTTGTTTTGAGGGGTGAGTAAAGAAGCTTAGGTAGCTGTTTTAACTTACCCCTTAGCCTGTTCACATCTGTCCCATGGATTCTAAATTACAGGCTTCTTAGTTTTAGTGTCCTGAGAGATTGCACTAAGAGATGAAAAGCAAACGGTTGACTTTGTGGGTCTAGGGGGGCAGAGAATGGTATGCACTAGTGAGAACTGCGGGGCTGTGCAAACAGATGCAGGAAGGCAAAGGAGAGAAGACCCCGGGGCCAGATTTAGAACAAATGCCTAAGATTATTTACTCAACTTATACAGAAAAAAAAGCATAAAGAAAAATTAAAAATTTAAGATAAATAATATAAAACTTAAATGATCAAAATATTTCAGAAGTCAACCAGCAGTGTAAAACATTGTCACTGCTAGATTGAAGACTGGCCATGGATTGTCCATAAGGAAGTAAATCATAAGGTCAGAGAAGTCTTTTTATTATGTTGGAAAGACCTAAGAACAGGATTGCTTGCTGAGAATGCAAGGTGTGCATTTGTGAAAGCAAGAAGTCAATGAAAATTCTTGGAAACTATGAGACAGATTCAATATACATAATAGACATTCAAACTTTCAGTCAGGAATTAATACTTGAGTTTTCTTAAATTATCTGCTTATGTATACTTACTTATTCAATAATAGTTTTATAATTAATCTCTGTACTCAGTGATTAAAATCAATCTTGAGAGTTCATATATTAACATTATTTTATTTTTATTTCAGTATCCAGTAATCACCCTCAAGGTAAGGTAACTGCAAGTTTAAGAGGGTTAATTTTCCACCTCCGTTTTAGAGCATCTCCTCAAACCTCAGTATTAAAAGGCAGTTGGCGGGGAACATTATCTATTTAAATTGGTAAGATATTATTTAGTTTGTGTAGCCATCCTCAAGAGAATAGAAATAAGTTATTTTCCTTCTCTTTGATTTAAATTCACATCTATTTTTTAATATGACAGGAAGCCAGTATAATTCATTTAACACTTATTGAATGTGTCTAAAAGTGCACTGGGGTCAAAATGTAGTTCACCTATAAGAACTGAAATTTTGATGCAGAAAACAGCTGTAACAAAATAATAATTCTAGAGATATGATAATTGAATCCCCAGTACTGCAAAAATAAATAAATAAATACAGACATAAAAATATACTAAATGCTCTGATATATAGAGATATGAATCCATTCAAAACAACAATCACTTCTCCATGGTGAATCATTTAAAACTTGTGTTTTAAATCAGCAGATTAGCATTTTAAGAATTAGGAAGTTACTTGATGAAACGTTATGATGAATGAAAAATCCAAAATGCAACACAATATACGTTATTCCTCCTCAGGACCCACAGGGTAATCAGATACAACGGTGGGTTAATGAAAAGGCTGTGAAAGGCGTGCTACCACTCTCCTTCCTGTTAATCCCGGAGTCCATCCTAGGATGGTATGAGATCACCGTGGAGATGGGCTCTGGAAACAAAGAATACCACTATTTCTCTGTGGAAGAATATGGTAAACATGCGGCTACAAAAATATGATATATTAATAAGAAAACATGTAAAACTATCCATTTTTCCGAAGGCCTGTACTTAGTAATTGTGCATCTCTGAAGCTTTCCTCTTAATCGTCACACATTTTTCTGTTGACCTAGGATGTCTATTCTGTTTTTCTTTCGTGATGTCTAGAACTGAGTTAATATGATGGTTTCACTTTCTTTTTTGGCCATATTTATGCTTTGAAGCACTTTTTATAAAAAAAAAAAAAGGAATTCACATTAACTATGTAAGGAGGAGTGCTGCTTGTAGGATTTTAGTAAATCATCATAAAATTTCATAATGATATCATTATTCTCATTTTACAGATGAAGAGATTGAGAAACACTTACCCAAAATCAATATTTCAGAAGTTATGGATTTGGAATGCACACCCGCATTTTCCTATTCAATTTCAAAGTCCAGCCCTATGTACTTCTGCATCTTCCTAACACTCTTAATTAACAACAAATATTGGCAAAGAACCATGGATTATAAAAGGGGAAAATTGCTTTATATGAATGCCTTTATATAATGCCTTATAAGGTTGCCTTTTTTCTTTTTACGAACAGTGTTACCCAAATTTCAAATGACTGTGGATGCACCAGGAAACATCTTAATTGTGGACTCTGAATTCAAAGTTAATGTCTGTGCCTTGTAAGTACAAATTGTACACAATAAAATGATGTATTAATGGAAATAGAATAGAGTACAGAAGGTAGCTAAAAAGAAGCACAATAAAAAATGATGGAAGACAAAGGAAAAGGACAATATAAAATTACCTTGCTGATTTTACTTCAAATAATGTTAAATATAATTACATCAATAATTATTGGAATATGACACATGTTAAGTAACAGTTTGACTACTGATTATTGTCTTACAACATAACACATTGTTTTATACCATCCAATGCAGTATCTACTGAGTGCCCCTTTGTGGGTAATTATATTCCAAAATTAAATAAAATTAAACATTCCAATCCCTCAGTTGCACTAGCCACATTACATGTAACCAGTTGATGCTGATTTGGATAGTGTGAATGTACAATGTCATAAGAACTAGGAAGTTACTTGATGAAACATTATGATGAATGAAAAATCCAAAATGCAACACATTAATGTACTCCCACATTAATGTATATTCAAGCATACTTTACACATCCTAATATTGCACCAAACACAATGTAGTAATAAATGACTTTTAGATAATACTGGCATGATTTAAGAGGGAGGGGAAAGCTTCACATAATGGTTGCACCCCAGTATTTTTTTTTTAAAAATACCATAAAATCTGCAGTGATTATGTGGTTGATATATGGAATTCCCATTTCAAGAGAGCTCTGCTGGTATTATCATGTGTTTACTCTGACTTCTTGATGAAAGTTCTTCTTATATTACATGATTAGAGAAGAAAAGCATAGGTCAAAATGTATCATAAAGAAAACTGCCATAAGATCTCAAATTGCTCCTGGGCAATCCTGGTACAATGTGTGGAGAATATCAAGGGCAGACAAGGACTTGGAGGGCACATAACAAGATGCTCAGTTAGTATATGGCAGTGGTAATAGCCAGACAGTTCAAGTAATTTTCTCCCTCCCTTTGCCACTAAATAAACAGTTGGCAGAAATTTCATAACTAGCAAAGACAGCAAGAATGCAAATATCAATTTATTTTATAGCCTGTAATTTCTAATTATAAACAGAGTTTCTGCTTGTGTTCACCCTACATTGGAAATTTAGGATGGTAAAGAAGGGATGTGGCTATCTTGAGTGTAACCTCCAGAGTGGGAGGAGAAATAAAGGTCAGGAAAGTTTCACTGTACTTGGATTATAGAGGCAGACAAGTACCAGGCAAGTACCTGTGAGAAATGGAAATCCTAAGAGCCCAGATGTCCTGTGATTCTTGTCTGTGTCATTTTTGCTGGAGAAACATTGCAATTAAGTGTGATAAGGCTCTCTGGGAAAAGCCAACTGGAAAGCATAAAACATAAGTATAAATGAGTAAGTAGTTGAAGATTCTAACAATTTTAAATCCTAGCATTAAGCTAAAAAATTGAGCAATTTATACCTGGAAAAATAATTGAAGATCATCCATAATAAAAGCTTAGAAATAAATATGACTGAGTCAATAGTGTACCTTTAAAATTAAGCATATTGATTGATACAGTAAGAACATATAATATGTATGTATATATACTGACTGAAAGAATGGATGGTGCTGAAGGGAGAATTAGTGACTTGGAAAATGAAATTGAGGAATTATAAAATGTAGTCCAGAGGATCTACCATTATTTCTTATAGACAATTTTGTTCTTTTAAACCTATTACTTGAATTTTTAATAATGATAATTTATTTGTGTACTTAGATATAAATAAAAACAAATATAATTTGTTTTAAAAGTTTAGTCCATAAGAATAATAAATGCTCATATACAATATTTTGGAAACACAAAAAAGCTAAAAGAAGTAAAGTACTATCCTAAGAAATGAAACAATCAATGATCTTGTATACCTTTCCCTTATTATTATTTTTTTCATTTATACTGTATTTTAGTGACTTACATAAATTAGTTCTACATGTTGTCTAGTTTGACCATTTTAATTAAAATATATGTTGGCCCAAAGTCATCAGTTTAGTTTTAGTCAATACCATTGTTTAGTTTTACTCCAGAAAATAAAATGTAAGATAACTTGTTGTGGCAGTGGTGGTTTTAGGCACTATAAATCTTTCAAACAATTCTATGCAAACTAATTATACCATTGACTTTTATGGTTGTATTCTTGTTATATCATTTTATTAGATACACCTATGGCAAACCGGTGGAGGGGAAAGTTCACCTTAGTGTATGCAGGGCATCTACTTTTTATGGTACTTGTGGACCTCTCAATTCACTCTGTAAAAATTTTACTCTTCAGGTAAGAGGCACATCTGCAAAATCATAAATAACTGTGCATTAACCTTATGACCTCAGCTTCCATTTACCTTCCTTTCTTCTTGTTTCTCTCTTTAGAATTAAAAATTATACTTCTCTTCTATATACCTATTTCCATTTTTAAAATTTCTATTGTTTTTTCTTGCTAACTTCTCATGTTCTATTAAATGACAAAACACAGGTTGTATTACTGGAAAGCTCTGGAGTAAATTTCTATTAATTAAAAATGAATTTGGTTCCATATCAAAATCTATACTCTAACAATGTACTACATGGGATATATCTTTCACTTTATACTTTCTAGATATAGTCAGGGAGATATGAAGATGTTCATGTGTTTTCAAGATTATTAGATGGGTGATTTTTTTTCTCAATCTTTTCTCATTGGAGTTGGGTGTTTACAGAATTTCCAGATGGTACATATAACAGGCGAAATTCTTATCTGCTAACAAGAGGAATTAACTTTTCCAAACTCCTAAGGGGAGGAATTTCCTGAAAAGATTCAAGTAAACCTTGAGAACCAGCATCAGAAAATTGAACCAACAAAGCTAGGATATGGCAAGGATTTCAATTATAATTATGCCAGAGTTTGACTTGTTAATACACAACTGCTACTTACATCTCTGTATCACAAATAGCAGCACACCCACACACATGTACTATACATACACACACGTTATATATTTCTATTATTTATAGAGAAGAATTTTTATTAAAAATAATTGTGAATCCTCTGGTTCTTAAGTTTAAAAGTTGAATTTGAACAATAAACAATAAAAACAGTAATAATTATAATAGCCAACATATTATGGTTGTGTCAAATGCTAGGATTAAGTAGTTCATATACATTTAACTATTAAAAGAACTGTATATGTATAGTACTGTTATTATCACTCATCTGCAGATGAATGGATTAAAGTAGGGAGAAGCTTAAGTATATTGCATGATGTCAAATGTATATATTAGTAGCATTGCTATATCCTTAGGCATTTCAGAGGCTACAGAATTTTCTCCATTTATTTATTCAACATTGAGTTCCTTTAATATATAAATATTATTGTGTTTAGAAGCTCCAGTGTTAAACCACACAGACCTGGTCCTGTCCTCATGGGGCTTGCTTTTTATGAAGTGGTCATTATATTTATTAGATGCACACTCAGGAATAAGAATGAACCAATATAAGCCAAGAACATGAGGGTGGATAGATCCCAAAATGAATTACAAAGAAGCTTATGTTATGTAGATTCCCTTCAAAAGATTTGAGAGATCTTTAAATTTAAAATACAGCAGGAGTGTAGCCTAAATGATTTACCTGACTGCTAACCTTTAACTCTAATGAAATTTACCTGGACCTTTAAGATTGTGGAACTGTCTTGAGGATTTCATAGAGTTTCAAGGGCCCTGAGAAGCAGCATATGATTCTGGTTTGGTATTATTTCTCTTGTTTTGGTGGTGCTATGGGTCCAACACAGGGCCTCACATATGCTGAGTATAAAATGGCATAGGATTTTAACCTGCCACTCAAGGACCCAGTTTCCTGATTTCAAGATGAAGGAGTACAACAGCAGCTCAGTTGTCCTGCAATAATCTACTAATCTATGAACACATTTCATCACCAACCTAAATATCTTTTAAGTATTTTCAATTCTTTCTGTTTAACCATTTCCTAATTATGACATTTTAAAAAGTCCCCAATGAGGCATTCTAAGTTGACCAGATAGACATTGAGACAAATTCAAAGAATCTAATAAGAATAATACCTACCATTTACTAAATGTTCACTAAGTACCAGGCACTATGCTAACCACTTTACAGCAATATGGCTTTAACATCTTGCTTTATACCAAGTAGTAAGTGATAGAACCAATATTAAAATCCCAGTGTTTGACTCAAAAGCCTATGTCCTTAACTGCCATATAAATTTTAATTCAATAAATATTCAAGGCATAGTAACTACAAAACATAAAACACAGTTTCAAAACTGAAAAGGAATATGGTTGAAATTAACAAAATCGCAATATCACATCTGAGTAAATGTGATCAGATTTAGATGTGTTAGCTTATAGATTAACAAAGTAATACCGCCAGGAGTGTTCTGTTTAACTCATATTCTCTTTAACTCAGAATTGTGAGAGTTGATATTTGTTAACAATTCAAATGAAGTCAGAGTTAAATACATGAACTGAAATTTTGAAGCAAATAAACACAATGAATTATTTTATAAAGTTCAAATTTGAGTAAAACATTTCTCTTAACGTTGCTTCCTGTAGGTTACATATTTTTTTTTCCAAAACTGGTATTTCTTATAGTCTTTAAAATTTGACTTATCTTTTATTATTACATTCATTAATGTTTCAGATGGGGAAAGATGGCTGTGTCTCCCAGCTTATTAACACAGATGCTTTTGAGTTAAATCGGGAAGGATATCAGAGTTACTTTAAAGTATACGTTCTTGTCACAGAAAGTGGAACAGGTAATGCTCCTTAAATAGTAAGACCCCAGTGGATAACATTTTCCTATTTGAACTATTATCTACTAAGGTTAATTTCACAATGTTAATATGATAATATAGTCATTTTTTGCATAGGATATGTTACCATTTTTTTAGATCCAAACTCTGTTTCTTATTTTAACCATAAGGTTTTAGACACCTATTGATGGATGGATAAATATTACTTTCAAATGAGACTAAAGTAGAATTCAGAATGCTAGTGTATTAGCATATAAAGGGAAGATATGTTTTGAATATTGGTATATTCCCTTTCCTTAATCATTGCAATATGTAACTGAGAAATATAGTGGTTGATTGCAAAATTTTGGGGGGAGCATAGAATCGAAACAAGGGAAGTAGAATATAGTTTTTTGAGAATATCACCAAACTTCTGAAAAGAAATTCAATGAAATATCTTTAACCCACAACCAGGAATATATTTCTAATGACTAATTTTTTATCTCTCTGATGCAGTATATTTCTCTCTCTTCATTAAATTCTTTTTCTTGAAATGGTCCTGTTCTGACCATTTCCTTTCTGTTAAAATAGACTTTCTTTAATTCACCTATGTGATATTTCAGTAAAAATTTCTGTCCATGATATCTTAAATACTAATATGCTTCAATCCATATTCAAAGTTTTAGAGATATCTGTCACATCCATGTCACAGGAAATCCATGTCCTGTGACACATCTGTCACAGGAAATTCAAGTAATAAATAAAAATTTAATGGATAATTAAATATATTTGTCACATTAAACAAAATAAATAATGAAAGGTAGCTAACTAAATGATAACATACATTTATGGCTGCAATGTTATACAGTCATTAAAAGAACTAGGTTTTTAGAAAAGTATCAAAACCTCAAAATAATGTTTAAAAACATAATGTCAAACTACATATTTTTTACAATGCAGATACACATATGTATTTACACACATTTATAATCCCAACTGCATTATTATAAATGATAATTTAAAGGATAAAAAAACTTGCAGAAAATAGTCTAACTTGTTAAATTTTGTTTTCTTTGGCATGTTTAAAAATTTGCATTATCTTCTTAAATTTTTTAAATTTCTAATAATATACATATATTACCTTTCTTACTATGAATAGATTAAAATGTATGTTTTAAGCAGGAAGATTGTGAAATAAAAGTTTCAAACCATTACTGATGAATAATAAGAAAACAACTGGGCATAGTGGCACAAGTCTATAATCGCAAAGGCTTGAGAGGCTAAGGCGGGAGGATCCAGAATTCAAAGCCATCCTCAGCAAAAGTGAGGTACTAAGCAACTCAGTGAAACCCTGTCCATAAATAAAATACAAAATAGGGCTGGGGATGTGGCTCAGTTGTCGAGTGCCCCTGAGTTCAATCCCCAGTACCCCCCAAAAGAAAAAAGAATAATCAGAAATCAGTGACGTTAATCCATCATGAAAGACTAATAAATGAATTGAACAGTGTATAAAGACCAAGAGTACTGGTCAAGAATGATAAGCTTTTTTGATTTTTCCCATCTTTATTAATTTACTTTACAAAACTTCTGAAAAAAATAACATGTATTAAAACTGCATAGAAAAAGTGAACTATTATAAAGAATAGGACATTTTGAGATTTTTTTCTATAGTTCGGTTTGGCTATATTTTGAGGATATTTTCCTAATAATACTTAATTTACTGCAGGTATTCAGCTTACAAAATTCATGTATATAAACATAGACTCATCAATGGTGAAGATTAGATTTGAAAATATGGAGACAATCTACAAACAGGGACTCCCTTATTTGGGCCAGGTAAGAAAAGTGATAACTTCTTTACTTTCTCATTCATTTATTCCCTCATCTATCTTTCACTTATTTGTTCATTCATTCATTCATCTACCCAATAGCTCTTTTCTGAGAAATTACAATATTAGAAACTCTGTGTTAAGCACTGTAGGATGATTTATTCTATTAGTTTTCAGAGACACATCTTGGTTTATGCCTTTTATGAAGTGGTAACTGTTAACACTGTCCCATTTCACACACAAGTGTCCATGATTGAAAGATAAATTGTTTATTCTGCATCAGAATTAGGATTAAAAAAATAAAAGCACTACTATTTGCCCTTGAGGGTTTTATAGCTCACAGAAAATAGACATTAAACAAATAATTTTATAAACAATGAATGAACTATAGTCATGGGTGCTCTGTCAGTGAAATACTGACCATTTAGTAACTGTTCTACATTAGGGAATTAGCAAACCATACTCCTCAGGCAAAAGCCAACAGAGTCCTACCTTTCTATAGCCAGTGATTTGGAGTGGTTTATCATTTTTTAAAGATTATAAAAACAACCAAAGGACGTGAGAAAGAAACAATATTTGGCCCCATAAAGTTTACCATATTTATTATATGATCCTTTATAGAAAATTTGCTAAACTCTGGACTAAATAGTCATAGAAAGTTTCTCTAAGGAAGTGATATTTAAGTTGATACAAGAACACTAATAAAGTATTGCAAAAGTGAGTTACTGGACTAGATCTTACAGAGAAGTTTTTCTCAAACTTGATCCTGTGTCAGAATCATCCAGAGGGCTTGGGAAACAAATGTCAGTAACAGCCATTTTATGAATAAATTTAGATTAAAGTTTGGCTTTGGCAAATAGATAATTTAATATATGATAATTTCATTTACTAAGCAGCCATTGAGTATATGCTAACAATTTTTCTCCCCTTTATCTCAATGCATTTTTGTTTGAAATGTTTCCATGTTCTGTTACTTAATATGTAAAGTTGAGGTTTATTATACCTTCAAGGAATAAAATTATTTTCCAAATATGAAATAATTTTCTCTGGACTGGTGAGTTTCCCTCAAACATTGTCATCAAACTCAAATGATTTCCTGGGTTCCTCTTCGTCTCTTACATCTTTTCAGTTCCATTTAAAAGCATATTCTATTAAAAGAACATTTTGTGAGAAAATGATATATTTTTAGCATCTTTTGTATACTTAAGTTTCTGGAGTATTGTTTAATAGTTTGTTTTTTTTTAATTGGCTTAAATCTCCAAATTGAAGATCAAATATAATAGCAGACTTTTTGTCACGTTATGCATTTTGAGGAATCCATTTTTAAAAATCTAATCTTCCGGGCTGGGGATGTGGCTCAAGCAGTATCGTGCTCACCTGGCATGCGTGTGGCCCGGGTTAGATCCTCAAAGATGTTGTATCCGTCGAAAACTAAAAATAAATATTAAAAAAAAAATTCTCTCTCTCTCTCTCTCTCTCTCTCTCTCTCTCTCTCTCTCTCTCTCTCTTTAAAAAAAAAATTTAACTTCCAGGCTTCTAAACACAAGAATTTTGTAAAATAAATTCTCAAGTCAAAGAATCTCCTTGTTTAAGTTTAATGAGAGCTCTCAGTACAGTTTTGATTTTAGATGTTCTCTTTCTCTTAAGTAATTTTGTTATTGTGTGTGTGTGTGTGTGTGTATGTATGTATGTATTTCCCATTAAATTTAGGCTTTGAAATTATTTATATTAATATTTCTAATATTCACTTATGATTTGAAGAAATAAGTCTACCACAATTTATTTTTCATTTTCTATTCCTAGTCTTGTGGGTTTTTTCCTCCACTAGTTGTTGGCTTTCTTATTTATCTTTATTTTTATTTTATTTTAAATAACATTTTACTATCATTCAATTTTATTATAACCTTTCTTCTTTGGATTTTATTCCTAACTTCTTGCTATGATTACTAAGGTTAAACTTTCATGTTTTCAAATGTTTACATTTCTAAGTACTACTTTACTTTTCATAGGTGTTTTTCTGTGCTATTTTTAGTTTTGAAATTGTGGTAAAATACATGTTACATAAAAATTATTACCTAAGTCACTTTAAGTTTAGTTATAATTATTTTTCATGACTTTACAGCATTTATTTTCACTTTCTCTTTCACCTAAGAATGACTTAGGGTTTTAATTTTTTTTTGGTCTAATATGTGTGTTTGTGATTATACATTAAAAAAATAAGTAAATTTTTCTGGGTGTGTGATGCACACCTGAAATTTCAGATACTAAAGAGGTGAGACAGGAGGATCACAAGTTCAACACCAGCATGGGCAACTTAGACCCTATCTTAAAATAAAAAATAAAAAGGTCTGGGAATATAACTCAGTGATAGAGCACTTGCCTGGCATGCATGAGGCTCTGGGTTCCATCCCCGGTACCTCAAAAATAAAGGGAAAAAAACAGAAAAGAAAGAAAAGTAATTTTTCTTTTAGCACAGGCACCATACATATTAAAAAGAAAAAAAAATAATATTGATAAAACTATAAAGAACAGATAGCACTTCCCCTTTAAGAGCTTTATGTCCTGAGCAGTTCTCTAGGAACAACTATTTTAACTCTTTCAGAGATTCCCACAAATATTAATCTTCATTAATATTAATAATATTAACTGTCACTTTGCAAAACAAAGGATGAAGAGCAAACCTTTTACACCTGCCCCATCACTTCTACACTCTGTGCCCCAATGAATTACATATTTCTAAGTAGACATTCAATTGTTACATTCTGTTAGTATGTGCATCTATTTTTCACAGGATAACCAATTTAGGATTCTAGGATTAAATCTCATTTGTGCAATATTGGGTTCTCCTTTGCTATTATTATGTACATGTCACTACTAATGTTCAAAAAGTTCTAAAATTATTCCCAAAGTTTTAATTATATTGTCAAAATACACGTTACATCTATCATTCTTGATCCATCTGAATTGCTCTCTGTGTTTCTCAAAAGTAATTGTCATTCTCAAAGATAATTCCCCTGATATCTTGATACTTCCCTTTGCTTTTTCCAGCTTCAAATGTCCTGTTTTTTAAATTCCATTTCCTTGGTTTCCACATTAGTTCAATGGATCAAGCCCTCTAGTAGCTTCTTGAGCAAGGACAGATGGTATTTGGAGAAGGTTAAATATTCTGCATAATTTTTAATTATTGGTTGGACATTTTTGGAGTTTGAATTAAATATTTCTGCAATAATTGTGGATTTGTTAACTTTTTTTGTCATTTCTGCCAATGTTTGATACATATACACACAGAGACAGTGTTGAAATTTTTTTGTATCATGTATGTAGCCTTTTATCCCTATTGGTACATTTCACTTCTCCCATTCTGCTTTAATATTTTAAAAATAAGTTTTTGAGTATCACTTTTAATTCCTCTGTTTTTAACCTTCTGTATATTTTTATGTATGTTGATGATGAAGAGTATCTAGATGAATTTTCAAATACAATATAAAAATTTTCCTTATTAATAGGTTTAACCCATTTCTTCATTAATGCTGGTAGAGGTATATTTACTTCTACCATGTTATTTTTGTTTTCTATTCCCATAGAGTTTTTTTTCAACCACCTCTCTTTTTTTTAACCTTGTCTTCTACTCAGTTCTTAAAATTTCTCCTTGTAAGTTTTTTTTTCTTATTTCTTAAGTATTTAATACATTTAAATTTCTATTTCTATTTTTATCCTAAAATTTAAGTGTTTTTGAAATCTTAATTTTTTAATTTCCAATTTTACTGCCTATTATTTCACATTAGACTATTTTAATTCATAACCACATCTGCTTAATGCATAAACTTGTTTTTTGACAATATTTCTAGATAGTTACATACATTTATCCTAAAATTCTTCTAAATTATTCTTATCTGGATTTCCTAAACTGCTGATAATAAAAATTTATGGGCATAAGAGGTTATGAATTGTCTTTCATAAGATATATGTCAAGGATCTGTCACATTTTCTATTTTAGGCTCCCATGCAAATGGTTCAATTAATTAGAATCCTCAGATCATGAAATGATAACATAGAACATATCACTTATTTTATTTATATGTTTATTATTTCTCCTTTATCTTTAGTTCCTCCCCACTCCAATCTTAATTATTTACTCTAATATACTTACTTATATTCTTAAAATTCTATGTGTAGACCTTTCTCTAAAATATATCCTCTGCAGTGGAATTGCTGGGTCACCATCAGATACATGTAAAGTTTGACTAGCTATTGCCAAATTGCTCACAATAATAGTTACAAAGTCCCCAGAAGAGACTCAGAGGTCTCACATTCCAGCAGCTCCAATAGCACTGCATCATCACATCTCAACATTTAGCATCATCCAATTAATCAATTATCTTGATAATCCATTGGGCTTTAAAGTGATTTGTCATTATTGCTTGAGTTTGCATTTATCATTTTACTCATTTGCTTCACCATCCCCTCATTACCTATTAGTGATTTGAACCTTCTCTTTTGAGAACTGCCTGTTTCTATTGGTTTATCATATTTAAGGATACCTTGCTTATTCTAGATATTAGACTATTTTGCATTTGGGTATTAAAATGTATTCTGCTTTTTATGAATCTGATAACATTTTGTTAAAAAACGACAGGCGACTTTTGTTAAAAATATTTCAAATATTTAAAATATTATAGAAAAAGTATATAAACCACCATGTACTATCACTCAAGTAAAACATTTATAAACTTATGCCAAACTTATTTTCTACATTCAGCTATCAAATTAAGCTTCCCTTTTAGATTATTATAGATGTATCAGTCCTTCTTTAAACACTTTATTATTTTTTTCTAAAATAAATGGGTTTTTTAAACCTATTACCTCAATTCCATTATTCCATCCAAAAACAGAATAGTACTTCCTGAAAAATCAAGTTTTAAACTCTCTAACTAGAATTTTTAAGTATATTTTAAAGTTATTGTAACAGAGAAATAATGTATCTAAGCATAACAGGATAGAAATAAGATCCATAGATTCTATTGGTTAATGTGTCTCTTAGTTCTATTTAAAATTAAAAGGATCCTCTTTCTTTTTTCTTTTGTTTTCTTGAAATATGTTTATTAGGAAACTGTAATTTTTCCTGCAGATTTTTCTAGAGGCTGGATTTTTCTGATTGCATCTGCCAGTTATCATTTAACACTTTTCTCTGTCTCTTACATTTCCTGTACTCTGGTAGTTAGATTTAGGTGCTTTACCATATTGGAGTTCATTTTTGTGGAGGAAGTCAAGAAAACTTCATAGATATCATCATATATTTTTCATAGAACAGACTTTCTTATTGTGTTGTTGGCAGCCATTGCCAATAATTGCTTAGATACATTATTTCTCTAGCCACTGTCTCATAGTCTTGGCACTATTTAAATTTTTGATCAAATAATACTTTGCTGTGGATTGCATCCTGTGTATGGCAGATGTCTAGCAAGATCTCTGACTTCTTGTTAAACGTCAGTAGCACAGGTCCCCTCCCCATTTGCTGCAGCTCAAAATGTCTCCAAACATTGTGAAATAGCTACTAGAGGGCAAAATATGTTAGCTAACAAATGAAGCATGATAGAGTTTTGTAAACTCTAGAATAATAATTCTCAACAAAGGGGAATTTGAGATACTTCTGAGCACATTATCTAAATGATATTATTTTATCTAAAAATTAATAATCATTCCCTAAAATTTACTTGTCAACCATGTTCTAAACTTAGCTCAGAGATTTTATTTATTTTTCTCCTACACAGGATCTGGGTCTGAAGGGCGTGTGTGTGTATGTTTGTGTGTGTGTTTAGAAGCTAAGCCTCAGCCTAGCTACTAAAGCCCAGGTCTTTACCATTCCTTCTCAAATGTTCTTAATTCCTGAAGGTATAACATCATCTCCCCCTATGATCAGGAACCCCAGGATATCTCTTCCTATAGGGAAGAATTAGGAAAACTAACTGAGGTGAGTCCTAACTTATCACAGGAGAGGGTGATAGGTGACAGCTACATGGCTCAGGAATCCTTGGCAAAGTAGTCTGTTCTACCATAATATGATGCAGCTGTTCAGTGTGGATATATTTTCTTCATTAGCATTTGAAAGAGTTAGTTCTTGGAAACTAACCTAAGAGCTCTCATCTCCTTGACTATTATAAGGGGACAGATGGCAGTCATAAACAGATGTGACTAAGTCTTTTTTTAAAAATTTTTTTTAGTCATACATGACAGTAGAATGCATTTTGAAATATAATACATACATGGAATGTACATACATTCATGTGAATGTATGGATACTACATGACTAAGTCTTAATAAATAAAATTGTTTTCATTAAAAAATATGGTTGTGTGAAGTTGTCTCTTCCGGATTTTTAGATATTTCTTAATGGCAAATGCTCTGATCACTCCCTGGGATGGGCTGGTAAAAATCAATCATTCCTTTTCTACTTTTTAGAAATTAAATGATTACTCTGTGATGCATACTGTAGTAGCTGCATTATTATAAATTACAAATGGCACATCTGGCTCTGCTTTGAGTATTAGAGAACTCCACACTTGGCTCAGCAATGTTATGTGGTCCTTTGGATGGCAAGTTTATTACTAGTACTATTTCATCTTTGTGCTATCTGCTGTAAATTTCAAAACTTCAGAGATAAGGTTTCCAGAGGTATCTATATTTGAACATGAAAATGGAGCAATGGTGTGGGCTAACAGGATAATTTCTCCGTAAGTGACAGTAGTAGTGTTATTGGATGGCTAAAATGATAGTGCTTAAATATGTAAGACACATGACACATAGAGAGTGTCATGTGACACAAAGAGAGTGTTGCATGCCTATTGCAAGCCTATTTCAAAGTAATGACAAAAAACGTCCCTAGGAAGCTTGTGGATTATTCCTTCTGTGACTAGAAAGGGCTCAAGGATCTTTCTTAAGTGTAATAAGATTAGAATAAATAAATGTCTGTGGGGATCATGGAAGCAGGGTATCATGTGTCAACGGCCTGTGGATCATAAGTTGAATTTTTTTATGAGGTCAAGCTATAAATTGATACTGAATTTAAAGGCCATGTAAGTGGTGCAAGTGAGGCATGAGTCTACAAAAGCCAAACAGGGACTGAAATTAGACTTGAACCAATAGAAAAATAACAGGTGCCAGAAATATCAGGGCAGGTGTTTTTCAGAAACCACATGAACTTAAAACAAGGGTTGCTGTAAAAAAAGGGTCTTCCCCCTGATATCTGTGGCCTTAGACGTTGTTAAGAAATGTGCACTTCAAGGTTCATGACTGGCACAGATATTCATGTAGGCGTTATATCTACTACAAACATGCCAGTTTCGTAAGGAACTTTGAAAAGCTAATATTGCCTGTACCAGTAAGACAATGAGAATGAGATTTCTAACTAAAAAATGTGATTTAACAGCATTCCCTGAAATGTTTTAGGGAGAAAAATTCTGAGTTCTGAATTTTAGAGAATTTGACTTTATGCCACTATAAAGAAAGGATAGAAGCATTATAGAATACAGATTGGAGACATCAACGTATATGAGGAAAAAAAATAAGAAATTGATATAAGGCAGTAATGGTGAGAATGAATATGATAAATTATAAAGAAGAATTATAAAATTTTAAATTAAAAATATTTTATTAACAATTATAAATTGTAGGTTTGGTTTCAGTAGCTAAATGAATGGTTGGGCTGGTCATTGAAATAAATAGGAGAAAAAGAAAGAAGAGAAAGTAAGTTGTAGCAATAAATCATGGCATTTTGAGGGTTTCTGTGATATTTTTATTATAAAACATTCAGTATACAATTATATATATGGACTTGAATTTCCAAAGATCTTTTTTGGAAGAAGAAATGGAGTTTAGATTGAACAAAATATTGATGGTATGCATCACGCAGTCAACAGGAATTGGAGCTACTTAGGAAGCACAAAAGGAGACATGTCCATGACACAGCTTGACAGTTTCATCAAAATTGATCCCCAAATTTATTAGATGCTTCAGAAATTGCTTTTCTTCCTCTTAAACAGATTAAATTGCTTCATCCTGACAACTCCCCCATCCCAAATGAAGTTATCCAATTGCACCTAAAGGACAAAATTGTGGGTAACTACACCACAGATACAAATGGCATTGCACAATTTTCCTTGGACACATCTAAGCTTACATACCCAAACATCACTTTGAAAGTAAGTTATCCAAAGGCAAGTAGAGAAAAACAAACAAGCAAAAGTATATTGGCTAACTAAGGTTTACATTTATGCTACATTTTATTTTTGGAATAGAAATGGGGGGGGGAATCATGTTAGTTTGAATTTAGAGTGCTACAAAATGGTTAACTATTAAAGAAATAGTCTCTATAAAATAGATAACTATTTTACAAATCCTGAGAAAGTGCAGGCTAGCCTACACATTAAAGTATATAGAGGAAAATTAGCTGAAAATAAGCCACACTTCACTTTTATTGTTGAACTAGAAAGAGAATTGCATTTCTATAGAGGAAAATACTTGTAAAATCTTGTAATCTATTATCATGGATAATGTAAAGAATTTCTCTGCACACATTCAAGAGAGAAGCAACCTAGTATCTTAAATGAGTTAGTAATGACTAAATGTCAAATTTTCCTAGATATTTTTAAAGGACCTCACAGACTTGTGTGTTTGGTAATTGACTATTGTTAGATTAATCTCCTTGCTCTATTTGATAAAAAAGTTTTTTTCACTTTTCAGAAAATTCCATTATGTTATTATTTTCAACATCAACTTATGTATGCATTCATATGTTCTTCATATAACATTGAAAGATACAGTGTATACATACTTGTAAAAACATCACTTTAGTACAGAGCATAGTAAAACAGTGTAATATTACTGAAACAGGATTTAAATAATAAATCATAAAAACAATATAGTGGTGATTCTAGAGTATAACTGGAAAGTTGGATTAGGGAATTCAGTCAGACTTAATGAAGAATGGGCCTGAAATTTTCCTTTAGAGATAGAGCACCATGATGAAAAACCATTTTAGCAATATTCTTTCACTTATCCTTTCTTTTTACCTTAAAATAACTAAATTTGATTTTTTGCCAGGCAACCTACAAGGACAATGAAAATTGCAATGCACGGGGGTGGGTGTTGCCTCGTTACCCACAAGCAGAGTACTTTGTGACCCGATTCTACTCCAGGACTAATAGCTTCCTAAAGATTGTCCCAGAGATGGAAGAACTGAAGTGCAACCAGCAGAAGAAGGTGACAGTGCACTACCTTCTCAACACGGAAGACCTTGAAGACAAAATATATACAGTAAACTTCAATTATTTGGTATGAACTGAAACATTCTGCCCAAACTAGAATTGCTTCTTGACTTTAAAACTTCTTTGAACCTAATGTAAATCCTTTGGCCTAAATATCATGAAAAAGGTCAAAGTAAACATAGAAGAAAAAATTTAACACAACTGAAGTTTTAAAGCTCCCATTTTAAATAAAAAAAATAAATAAATAAAGAGGAACCAGACAGAGGATGTTACCCTAACCTTGATTCACTCCATCATCCTTGCCACTCTTCTTCATAGTTGCCCATTTTTTAAAATACTATCTCTCACTCACATTTTTCTTTCCTTCAGCATTTCCACAAACATTAAAGTATTTTGGACCAGTAAGTCTGGATGCCAAATTATCAGAATGGACACTATATAACTCCACACTAACCCTTAGCTAAGCTGGTGCAGGTGGAGGTACTGGTTGTGGAGAATAGGTCCTAGCAGGGCAGGGTGGGAACTCAGAGAAGTGACTCTACCAACCAGTACAGAAATTCTTCAACATTTCAACAGCAATATTGCCATATGGCTGTGCGAGGAATGTCAAAGAACCTTGGGTGAGAAGCTGAGCCTCTTAACTAGTCTGTACAATAACACTGAAACATCTCCCTGACTTTTGCGTCTCTCTTCCCTGCTGCCACACCCTGCCCATCTCAGTATCCAATAGCTCCCACTCCAGAGGGAGCCCATTTTTAGGTCTGTGGGCAAATTGGTTTATTTCTCATTAGTTTCCCTCTTGAAACAGCTGAAGATCAACCCTTTCCTGCTCTGATAAATCTTTTATGATTACCTCTCCTGATTTCCATTTAAAATAGGAAGTTTGCCTTTCCCTTCCTTCCTTCCTTCCTCCCTCCCTCCCACCCACCCACCCTCCCTCCCTTTTTCCCTCCCTCCCTCCCTTCCTTCCTTCCTTCCTTCCTTCCTTCCTTCCTTCCTTCCTTCCTTCCTTCCTTCCTTTCTCCCTCCCTAAGTCTAAAAATCTAAAGTGATTGTTTTCCAGAGCCATTTGGGTTATTTCAATCTTCTAATAGAAATACATTCTATAACTTCCTGTCTCTATTAAAACAGCCAGCCAGCCCTTCTCTTTTGCCTCCTGTAGGGCCTCGCACTAGCCAGCTGCATTCTGCCCTTTGGCCTTCTCTCCTGCTGACTCATGAGCCTGTTGTTTTTAATGAAAAGCCACATTCTTATCTATCTCAGGAGCCTCTCGCAACTTTTTCCCATTTGTTGTTCATAACCTTCATCTTTCCCTTTTGCTGCCACTGCACCTGCACCACCTGTACCCCCTTTTTCTAGTTGATTCTTCCCATCATTTCTCACTCAGGTGAAGTGAACTTTCCTATTCTCACTGGTAATTCAAGTCTTACTATGTACACTTTCACAGTACATTATTGTTATCTATAGTCACTCTGCTGTCCAAAAGCACACTGGAACTATCACCCCTAACTATAACATTGTATTCATTGATTAACCTCTTGTCATCCCTTCCTCCTTCTTACTCACCCAACCTCTGGCCACCACCATTCTACTCTCAACTTCTATGAGATCAACGTTTTTAGATTCCACGTGAGTGGTATCACACAATACTGGTCTTTCTGCGCCCAGCTTAATTCATTCAATGATCTCCATTTCCTTCCATGTAGCAATAACATGAAAGTCTCTTGATAATGCCTCTGTGAACTGTGTTCCATTAAAAAAAATAAATTTAAGTATAATTCAGGAATTACAAATATGAATGAAGAGTTTTTCATTTGATCATAGGAACTGATTTGGGATATGTAACACTAAATTGTTTTATAGGAAATTTAACCATGAATCTTAAATTCTCTTGAAGATTGTTAATAGGATTGTATGCTCATATACTTGTATCCTGAGTTCACTGGTAAACATTTGCAGTTATGTTGTTCAGACAAGGAAAACAGAAAAATTGTGTAAGTTTATAATTAAGTGAAGTTTGGTTTCTATTTTATAAACTTTGTCATAATATTTTTTTCTCCTAGGTTATTGCAAGAGGTGTAATTGTTCTTCATGGGCAACAGAAAATTGAGAAGAAAGATGCTTGTGAGACCTCTAATTTGAGCATGGGATTTTATGCAAATAGAACATTTTAGTTGGGGCATATTTTATATATATATTTTTTTTCAAGTCACAGCTTTCACATTTTAGGCCTTCTAACCCCAAATCACCCTTGGAGACTATGTAATACATAAAAATAGACAAAATATCAAAGAAAAATGATCAATTAATAAGGATTTATAAAGCTAACTATATTTAAAGCATCATATATGGGAGAGAGCAATTGTTCCTTCTCTTTCTCTTCCAGGAAATACAGTTAAGTATTTGTACACTCAAACAAGAAGGAATAAACAATGAAACAAAATAAAATTTTAGAGTTTGAGGTAATCAGAAATGTCCAACTAGTCCTTCCAGAGCAATTTATGAACTCCTTCTAAAAAGATTCCATAAATTAAATGTGTTAGATTGGGGGAGTCTTATTCAGAGGCAGTGGGTGGGATGTCTAGGAAAATTTCTGCAAGATGATAGTCGACTGTTTTACCAAGACACTTCTTCAGTTTAAGCTTTTCTTTCCCCAGCTATGAAGGGCGTATTTTCCATTCCTATAGATGTTAGTGCCCAGCTAGCTCCTTCTGCAGTTATGCTGGTCTATAGTTTGCATCCTGAAGGAGAAATGATTGCTGACACCACCAGATTCCAAATTGAGAAATGCTTCAAAAATGAGGTGAGGAAAAAGGAGCAAAAGACTCTTTTTCAGATTTGTTCAACTTATTGGAAAACTAAAATGAATTTGAAGTGCATTGGGCTTATAACCCATTTACTCTGAGTTTAAAATGAAATAAAAGCTAGAATGGTAGTTAATATGTTAGACAATCAAAAAGTATCAGGATTAGGCATTCACTTTGGATGTCATTCCTATCCTTCTAAGTTATTGGTGTCATTAGAAGAGTAAATCAGAGAACCCTTCCAACTTGTATGTTTGAAAATTAAAAATAGTCTGAAAGGTGATTCTTCCCAAGTGGTTTGCAATACCTTAACCGCCCCCCCCCCTTTTTGTTTTGTTTTTATTTTCAGGTCAACTTAAAATTTTCTAAAGAAAAAAGTTCACCAGGATCTACTATCAGTCTTCAAATCTCAACTGCTTCAAATTCTCTTTGTGCTCTTTGGGCTATAGATCAAAGTGTATTGCTACTGGGGAATTATGGTCAGCTCTCAGCACAAAGCGTGAGTGAAATTACCTCTATTTATTACCAACTATATAGGGTTATGTTTTTACCTTTAGATATAAATGAGAAACCTTAAATAAACTATGGCACAAAGGAATTTTCTGGAATCCAAGGAAAAAATATTTCAGTTTAGAAATCAGGTCAAATGGACTTTATTTACTAATTATACATATTCTCTCATGCTAAAAGTTAGCTCTACCACTTTTAAAAATGAATTAAAAATTTTTAAATATTATTTTTATCTTTTTAAAAAAATATAATATATATGTATATATACTTCTGTATGTATGTGTGGACATTCTTGTACTATTACTATTATATCTTTATTATAATTTTTGCTATCTGGTAGTGCTAATTTTCTAGTCTTAAAAATTATGTTCACTGCTATGATTTATTGGTTCTTTTATATGAATTTTAAGATCAAATTCTTATTCTCTGCTTAGAAAATGAACTGTTGCAAATTCTTAAAATAATTGCATTGAATATATATGTTTACTTAAGGAGAAGTAACTTCCATATGATCTTGAGATTCCCATCTCTAAATACGCCTTATCTTTTCATTTAATAAATATTGTTCAATCCAGCTTTAAAATATATATATATATAATATATATATACATTATATATATATATATATATATATATATTATATAATATTTGCTGAATGTCTGCTGTTTGACACATACTATATTGAGTGTCTGGTATATGTTATATAATTTTATTCTCAAATAGAATTTATATAATATCCCCATTTTGACAAATGAATAATTTTAGGCTCAGGGAGATTTAACAAATTAACCAAGGGCATTATCTGACAATGTATTTGAATGAGCCATCAAAGAATATTGAGACTTCCCTTTATCTGGAAGTTATTAAAATCCAATTGAGTTTCACCTATCTTTGTTGATTTTATTTCAAAATGATTAAGCCAACCATTATTTAAGTGACTAAATATCATTCAGTCTTTATAGCTCTTCTTCCCGGGTAACTATATGTTACTCATAAGAAAAAGAATTTTAAAAATTGCTTTTTTAAAAAATATATAATTGATTCTCTTCTATCACTCAGGTATATAATCAGTTAAATTACAGGGAACTATATGGCTATTATTTCAAAAGTTTGAACTTAGAAGATGGCCCAGTAGTGCCATGTCTGAAAAACGAACAAATCCTACATAAAGGAATTTATTATGAGCCTGCGTTGGCTGACTTTGGAAGAGATGCTTATGATCTTATGAAGGTAAGATGACTAGCATTAAAATGTTTACTGCATGTGACAATATATAAATAAGTAGAATAAAAATAATAAATGTCCATTGTGTGAATTTTTAGTCCAAGAATTATCAGTCTAATCTATAATTAGTATTAATATCTGAGAACTAATATTTCAAAAATATATTTATAAAAGAACTTATCATTATACATTTGTTATAAATGATAATATTACATGATATAATATTATAAATAATTGATAATGTCATAATATTGCTAAAAGAAAACTAATATCTCAGAGAATTATGTTTTATTGACACAGTGTTGTATGCATTTTATGCTGAGTCTCTAATATAAATACCCCAATATGTTGCTCCTACATCTGTGCCCCAAATTCAAATTCTATTATGTTAAGTTATATACATTTTTGAAGTGTTTACAAGTGAGATATTTTCCCTAGTCTAAGAAATATGTCAAATTCAAAACAGTGACAATATAGTGAAGTAGGAGATGAACTGGGGTCTGGCTAGTTTTTTAGTTTGTTTTCTGTCCTCTCTTATTTAAAGATTTTCCTCATTATCTGTTAATTAGGAAAACAAGACAAAGGTCATTAAATCTAAGAACCTAGGGTAATGGAAAACATAGACCTTAGAAAATAGCTATCTCTAAATATATGACCAGTAGAGATGCAGAAATAAATAAGAGAAAGAAAGAAAAACATCATCAGTTTGAAAAAACTGATCAAAATGAGAGTCTGTACTGTCATATGATATAAAATTGATTTTTATCTTGAAAGGCAATAGGATTAAAAGTCTTCACCAACTCTCATCACCGGAAACCAGTGCTATGTGAGGATCTCAAACATCCAGGCTATGCTGATGAAAATTATTCAAGTGAGTTGTGATATAATGTAAAAGAGAGATGACAGCTTAACAGTCTTGTAATTCATCTAAACTGATCTAGGGCAAGGGGAGAGGATGTTGTTTTGTTCTGTCTTGTTTTATAATTAATTCAATAATTAATTCATAGCAAATGCTAGAAATATAGTGAGAATAAGGTAGGCAGATCTTTATATTCAAAGAGTTTAGACTGAATTTTGGATCATGATAATATATAAATGGCATAATTTCAGATGAACATAAGGGCCCTGATAGCTAATATTTATTGAATGGTTGCTATGTACCAAGCAAGATTTTAAGCATTTTACATATATCAACCAATTTGCTCATCACAGGCTATAGATTAGAAACTGTTATCTCCAATTTGGTAGAGAGAAAATGAAGCAGAGGGAGGAGAAGTAGTTTACCCAATGCCACAGAGAATAAGTGATAGAGATGGGAGTGTGGTCCAGGCATTCTGGTCCCAAGTCATATTATATTATCATTATGTTGGACTCTTTTGAAAAAGTACTGTAAAGAAAATATAAGGGAAGAGAGCAGACCATGAGGATGCTGTTTTAAGTAAGGTAGTCAGCAAAACTCTCTATTAAGAGATAACCTTTGATCAGAAACCTGAAAATTTTCAAGTTCTATATAAAGAAATATCTGCAAATTTTAAATATGAAGACATGATGAAAAAGGAAAACAAGAAAAATACATAAAAATCTTATACAAAATTTTGCTAGTAATCAGGAAAAATGATTAAAAGAACATCAAGAAATCAGTTCACATACATGCTAATAGCAAAAAGAAGAGAAAGAAAAGTCAGATAGCAATAACTGTACAAATGAACAAAATAGGAACACCCCACACACTACAGGAGGGAACCATAAGTCAGCACAGCCATATGTGGGTGAAAATCCTTAAACCAATATGCGTCTACCTTCTAACACAGCCATACACTTCTCAGCATATATACCAAAGGATTTTATTCAAATTCACAAGAAGCAAGAATGTTATGGGATATCTAGCCCATTGTTGTGTGTGCTGCCATAGAATGGAGACAACCCAAGGGGCTTTTACTAAAATGATGGATTAAAATCATGTGGTGACTACATGCTATGGAATATTTTATAGCATTAAGAAACAGGATGAAGGCTGGGAGCAGTGGCCACGCCTGTAATCCCAGGGGCTCCTGAGGCAGAGGCAGAAGGATCCAGAGTTCAAAGCCAGCCTCACAATTTAGCAAGGTGCTAAGCAACTCAGTGACACCCTGTCTCTAATAAAATACAAAACAGGGCTGGGGATGTGCCTCAGTGGTCTAGTGCCCCTGAGTTCAATCCCCAGTACTCTCTCTGCAAAAAGGAAAAAAGAAACAGCAGGGATGTGTTTTAAGACCAATTTTTATGTGGGGAAAAGTAAGAAACATAGTAACATCCAAATTATACTATCATTTGCCTTAGTGAAAAATAGATAAATATTTTTCAAAAATTTTCTATTTGTCAAGTATATATACATATCCAGTATATACATAAAATAACTAGAGTATTAGTGGAGGGAAGAGTTCCTCAGGAAAAAGACAGGGATGATGTTTAGATATTTATATATCATATGTACTAATAATATATTATTTTTATGTTTACTTTCCAAGAAGTAGAAATATGGGCTAAAATTTGCAAATAGAAATAGACACAGATCATAGTCAGCATTCAAGATTATCTCGGTACATCTAAAATAAAGAATCAGGAGACTGTCTAGATGAAAGGCATTTTAAATTTAATATGTACACATGAAACCTCCCATAGAATATGTTCTCATGACTAAGAATTATAAACTTCTGAGCAATATGTATACTTTGAAAGACTATGAAAGTGAACAACAAAAAGAAAGCTATCTTTAAAGCTAAATGGACCATTGAATAATAAGGAAAAGATATTAAAATGAATATTATATTGTTAAGGCATTTAAAAAGATGAAGTGAGCATTGGTGGTAAAAGTCAAAGGAATTTTGGTTTTGTTTTTTGTCTTTTAATTATTTAGTAGGATAAAGTATTTCCATACTAGTTGTGTAGCATATGTTTAAATACAATATAACAAAATATCAATGATTGATGTTTTCAGGGGTGAATTATTTGACTTTTTAATAAGCATTTGTAAAATTTTCACAGGTTTTTTACCGAATATAAGATATAACTAGAAATGGAATTTTAAAGCTTTGTCAAAGATTTTTGTGAGAATTGGATGAGTATTTTAATTAGTTCTAATCAGTTATAAATGACAGCAAATAGAGCACAACTCTTCATTTCTCTGGTTGTGCACAATGTAGATTTGTACCACATGTGCAGTCATACCTGTACCTAGGGGTAATCATGTTCATCTCACTCCACCATCTTTCCTACCCTTATGTCCACTTCCCTTCCCTCTCTCCCCTTGGCCCAATCAAAATTCCTCCATTCTCCCCACCCCCACCCCCATTATGGATCAGCACCCACTTATCAGAGAGAACATTTGGCCTTTGTTTTTGGGGGATTGGCTTACTTCATTTAGCATGATATTCTACAGCTCCATCCATTTACCTGCAAATGCCATAATTTTCTTTTAATGCTGAGTAATATTCCATTGTGTATATATACCATAGTTTCTTTATCCATTCATCTATTGAAGGGTATCTATGTTGGTTCCACAGTTTAGCCATTGTGAATTTTGCAGCTATAAACTGAAGTGGCTATGTCCCTATGGTATGCTGTTTTTAAGTCCTTTGGGTATAGACTGAGGAGTGGGATAGTTGGGTCAAATGGCAGTTCCATTCCAAGTTTTCTAAGGATTCACAATACTGCTTTCCAGACTGGTTGTACAAATTTACAGTCCCACCAGCAATGTATGACTGTGCCTTGTCATATAGGAAAAGTGCTTTCAATCCTGAGACATAGCAGTACTTCTGTAAGTGATGACTGCTATTATTATTAAATACTGCCCACAAAATATAATCCCATGTATTATGATATGAAGTTTGGGATATGAAATAACTAATAATTTGCTGCCTTCCTCCAAATATGTTGTATTTTATTCTATTAAGACTTGTAAATTTATAAATAACAATTTTGTGTATTTATGGGGAACAATTGGATGTTTCAGTACAAGCATGGATTGTGAAATGATCAAATCAGGTTAATTAACATACCTTTTGCCTTAAGTATTTATAATTTCTTTATGGTAAGAACATTTAACATCTTCTCCTTTACCTGGTGCTGAAGAACTACTATCAGAATCATATTCTGATCGTGCTCTTGGTGGATCTTATACTGAAACACTGAGGAAATCATTTCCTGAAACATGGGTGTGGAGTCTTATTACAACTGAGTGAGTTTTTAAATTACTATTATTTTTTTCTTCATTTAAATTTTTTTGGTCTGAGTGAAAATATCCATTGTCCTTCACAAAATGAGCGTGCCCTAAAGAGTAAAAATTAAGGGAGTGTGTCAAAATTCTGCCAAACCTGTGATAGGTTTCCACTAAATTCTCTTTTCTTCCTTTTACTTTCTCATTTCTTTCATTTATTTACTTATTTTTCTTACTCTGTTACTTTTTGTCATTTACTTTTATAAGAACTTGACTCTGTTGGAAAGAAAGTTTTATATAAAATAGTCTGGAATTTTGGTTTTTGTTGTGTAACATGGTGAACATGACACTCATCAAGTACACATGGATATAAGGGAAACAGGAGAAAGAAGAGGAACTAAAATGCTAAGGAATCAAAAAGGGCAACAAAGAAGAAATAATGAAAAGGAGGAAGAAAGGGACAAAGGGAGGTTGAGAAAAATGAATTTCTAAACAGCACCCAAAAAATTAAAGTACAAGGCTAGTGTACACATTTTAAACTTGAAAACCACTTATGTGACTCATATTTCTATGCTTATCATTAAAAGTAGACTAAACTAATCCTTAAATTATATATTCTGTGTAAATTAAATGAGTCCTTAATTACATGTATCCCGCTCACCCAACATTTCTAAATGCTTGAGTGTTTGAGACCATTCATGGTGTCCACTAATAACAAAGATAAAAATATACTCAGATAAAACCATCCTAGTATTTTATAAGAAAGTGAGAGATTTGTGTCTATGTCAAGTATTTTAGTAGTTTTTTTAATTTGGTAGGAATTGTAAGCAAAAATATACCTTCAAAAATATGTAGAGTTAAAAGGATGAGATCACAAATCTTAAAAAACAGAGTAGAAGCAAAGATAACAGTACTACAATAGGAGCATCTAATGCTCAGAAAACAAATACCTGATTTTGAGCTTCTTTATAGATAATGTGTAACATGAAGCAAACAGAGTAAGAATAGAATAAAAAGAAGATTTGCTTACTGTAGTTTAGTAGCATTGAACTGTCAAAGGAAAGTCCATAAACATTTGAGTGGATGGGATAAAGTGATTATATGGTGACAGTTCCTCTCTTCAGTGTTATCTGAATCTCCTCTTTTAGCTCCACAGGAATAGCCAACCTTGGTCTGACGGTTCCCGACACCATTACACAGTGGAAGGCCAGTGGATTCTGCATGAATGACAAAGCTGGATTTGGCATCTCTCCAACCATCTCCCTGACAGCTTTTCAGCCCTTCTTTGTTTCCCTCACTTTACCCTATTCAGTGGTTCAAGGAGAAGCATTCACTCTAAAAGCCAATGTGTTCAACTATCTGAACAAAAGTGTTCAGGTACTAACTTAAGACTTCTTAGTCATATATATATATATATATATATATATATATATATATATATATATATATACCTTAGTAATAATATGCCTTTCCAGGTATGTCCTCCCTACTTTTGAGCATATTAAATAGCTTTACCAACATTTTAGTGTGGAGTTTAGAAATACAAATTACCATACCTGGGTGACTGTGTGAAAATAAAATAATTTAAGACAAGGTTTATGAAGTAAGTCATCTGTTTGTGAGAGGAAGATGGATGGGAAGATTAAATGAGGAGATATGTGGCACCTCTATTTCTTCAACATATTCAAGAATTTTACACACAAGTCCCTCTGAAACAGAAGGATTTACAAAATTAGTAAGCTGGATATTATTAAATTGGAATTTCAATTGCTTGCCTTTCACCTTTGGATTACCTGAGGATATACAGAATATATGAGATTGTAGTAGCTTTGTGGACTTTTGACATCTGGAAGGTGGCTTCAAAACCAAATAGCAATTTCATATTAGAAAAAAGCTCAGACATTTAAACCTGGGTTCATGTCTTAGTTTTAATAGATTCTAGTTCTGTTGCTTTGAACAAAGTACAACCTTTTTTAGTCTCAGATTAGGAATGTGTAAAATTATGTTAATAATAGCAATTTCACTGCGTTTTTATGAGCATTGAATGAAATAATATTAATAGTCTTGCACAAAACAATGCCGATAGGCATTGGATTTATCTTCCTCACCCCAGTCAGAATGGCAGTCATCAAAAATACAAGTAATAACAAATGCTGGAGAGGACATGGAAAAAAAAGGAACACTTTTACACTATTGGTGGGAATGTAAATTAGTACAACAACTATGAAAATCAGTATAGAGGTTCCTCAAAAGACTAGGCATGGAAGCACCATATGACCCAGCTACACCACTCCTTGGAATTTATCCTGAAGAATTAAAGTCATCATACTACAGTGATACATGAATGCCCATGTTACAGCAGCACAATTCACAATAGGTAAACTATGGAACCAACCTAGGTGTCCATCAACAAGTGAATGGATAAAGAAAATGTGTTACATATATACAACAGACATAATAAAATCATGTCATTTGGATGGAATTTGAGACCATTTTGTCACTCCTTTATTGATATCCATTTATTGGGTCAAAGTCACCAAACAATAGGTACAGCATGATGTATTCAGAATGCCAAGTAATATAAATAATCAACATACTTTTACTTTAACTGATACTATTTACTGAAAAGAATAAAGAGGGTTGTATGTATTGTTCAGTAGTAGAGTACTTGTCTGACACGTGCAAACCCCTTGGTTCAATCCTTGGGAAAAATAAAGATAAAATTGGAAAATAAATCATAAATATCTATTTAGTTTATCAGGATGCAGTATTGAGTAATAGTCATCTTTAGAAAAAAATAAGAGCATTTTTTATAATCAAGAAAGTTTCTATTTGCTTTTCTGTGAGACTGAATTGGAATATACTGCTCTAGATATTCTGTATATGTTATGTTATGAAACCAAGATTCATAAGAGCTTATGTTAATTTATGTGATCAAAACATCAACTTATTTTGCTGCAGATCTCTAAAGAAATGTCTTGTTTAGTCACTAGTGCATTGATTGCTTTTTTCAAAATAATTAGTCAGAAAGTGCCAAAGGTCAAATTATAATAATTATGTAATGAGATTTTGAAGGTTTCCCCATGGTTTGGAAACCATTCTTCCCACAGCAGAATGTGAAATGGGAGAAATTTAACTTATCAGGCATGTACGACTATATTATGTTTACATATGGAAAAGACTAAATCTTTTTCTATATTTTTTGCCAATGTGTCCTTCACAGATAAATACTGTACTAAAAGCATCTAGTTTTTACCAAGCCAGATTTCTCTCAACCAAGGATGAAAATGATTATATCAATAGCAATGAAAAAAAGTCCTTTACTTGGCTGGTTACCCCACATAAGCTCGGTAAGATTTTATGTAAGACATACTTTTATATAAGATATGCTTTTATATTCTTTTATAATGCTCCTAAGGGTTTGTTATACTATTTCTCTACTATAACAAATTTACCCATTTCATAGTACCACCATCCATTCTCCTATTCCTACTACAGCGTACAGCGCTCTCTCTCTCTCTCTCTCTCTCTCTCTCTATATATATATATATATATATATATATACACACACATACACACACACTTAGTTGTATTTGAACACAATATCTTTATTTTATTTATTTATTTTTATGTGGTATCAAACCCAGCACCTCACACGTGTTAGTACCACTGAGCCATAACCCCAGCCCCTACAATACTCTTCTATCACCTAAATCCAATATATCTGGGGATAGGAGTAGGGAGTTGAATCAATTTCTGACTTTAAAATTTCCTGTTTTCTAGCAATTCTCAATTTAAAGTTCTGTACAATTTCAATTACTTTTACAATTTGCCTCAACTTAGATCCCAAAATGATCACTGCTTCCTTGAATCTTCATTCAAATGACTCTGCCATTCACATTTCTTGCCATTTCAGGTACAATCAATATCACCATTACAACTAAAACCCTGCAGAGGAGTAGCTATGCCAACAGGTCATCCATGGGTCAGGATATTGGTTGGAAGGATACATTAATCAAACCACTGCTGGTAGAGGTATGATCTTAATGGAAAACTGTGGTCCTTCATGTTTATTGCAGCACTGTTTGTAATAGCTAAGAGGTGGAATCAACCTAGGTGCTCCTCAAAAGGGGAATAGATAAAGAAAATGTGGTTTATATCCACAATGGAGAATTATTCAGTCATAAAGAAAAATGGAATCATTTCATTTGAAGAAAAATAGGTGTAATTGGAGGAGAACATGTTATGTGAAATAAGCCAGATATAGAAAGACAAGTACTATATACTCTTTCTTATATGAAAAAGTTAAAAATGTTGATTTGAAAGTAGTGATTACTAGAGATCGGGAAACACAAGGAATAAATATGAGGATAGAAAAAGGGAGGTTATATTTGCTCACAGTGTATATCACATTTATGCATGGAAATGTCACACCAAACCTCATAATTATGTGCAATCAATGTGTGGTAATTAAAAAAAAAAGAAAGAAAGAAACTTAACGGGCTTTGAGGAGAAGCCTACTTGTATTTCAACATTTTTTCTTCATAAATAGATATTAAGTAGATGTTTCAAAATTCATAGAAACAGGTTTTATTCACTTATATAACAATACAGCACAATATTTTAATAAAATATTTGGGACAAAAGGCCAGAGATAGCCATTTATTCCATTCCGTAAAGAGAACATTTGCAAACAATGTTTATTATTCTTGAAATTGAGCAACAGAATTTTGGAGATTGAAGGATTTTTGAGAAAATTCTTGCCTTCAGTTTTTGTAACACTCAGCTTCTTTTATAGCATGCAAAATAAAAATTTCATTTCAGCATTATCTTGGACTTAAAAATTCATATATTCATTACCTGTTACAAATTTTTCAGAATGGTTTATTTATATATTATTAATAATTTACAAATGTTCTGAAATTACTTGAAACATGAAATTAAGTATAACTACCCTCTCTTCTTTCAACAATTAGCCCGAAGGTATTAAAAAGGAGGTGACACAAGGCTCACTTATTTGCACAAATGGTAAGTAGATATCTTTACACAGGCTTTCTGACATGGCAATGTTGAATGACACCTCCATTTGTCTTTGGGGATTATTCTTTTTTATCTCTAATATGTGGCTACTGGGAAAAATTAAGTTACTTTCAAAAATAAAAGTTTAACATCCTATGTATCAAGGTAATTGTAAAACTTTTAGGTCTTCCTTATTTCCTACACCATAAATCAAAAACCAGAGCATCCTAATTTTATTTAATTCTTAATTCTACTCCTGAATTTCTTTCCATCTAACCCTGATTCTTTCATCAAAATACTCATGATTACAAATGTTCTGTCCAAAGACCACCAACAGGGTAGAATGATCTCTAACTACTTCAAATACATAGCTTCTAGGACCTTCTCTTGTCAACCTATCTCGGAGCCAAATTATGGTAAGTCTTTTTTTCTAACTACTACATCACCAGAGATTTACTTACCCAGAGGTTTGACTCATATCTATTGTCTACATATCTTTCCATTTCACCAAATTCAACAACTAGCTTGCCATATAAATAACAGAGTACAACAAATATTTTTCTATTATCTAACTTATTTTTCAGTGGCTGCTATTTTTTTGTTTCCTTATTTGTTTGAATGTTAAAAATGCAAAATTCTTCTAATCAGAGAAGCCAAAAGTCTCATTTTATTTTCTAATATCTTATCACCTCAAGGAGTATACTCAGGTAGTAGAGCACTGTAGCACCTGTGTAGAAATTATATTGACCCTGAATTCAAAAAGCCTGGATCCAAGCTAGATGTTCTCTTAATTTTTTTTCTGATTGCTTTATAGTTATGAATAAGCAATAAGAAGATATTAAGTAATTTATTAATAATATATAAATTATAATATAAAACTCCTGGTTTTTAAAACAAATGAGAGTTCTGAGTTAATTGATGAACTTTTGTGTTTCTTAGGATCCACAGTATCCCAAACAATAACATTCACTTCACCAGAAAATCTTGTGAAAGATTCACTGAGGGTTTATTGGTCTGTTCTTGGTAAGTCTGAAATACTATGAGATGAGGAAATTATACATAGGTTTAGAAGAGGAAGAAAAAGCATTCCTATTTTTGCCCTGGTTCTATTTGTTAGCTTGTCATCTATTTGGGTTCCATATCTATCCTTCTGATTTTATGATTGATATTGATATATCTGACTAGATATTCAACTACACTCAGAAATCAATTGTCAGAAACTCTAAAACATCTTCATTTTTCTGGCTCTTACCTTTCCCTTTTTTAACTGAGATAGAGTCTAGCAATATTGCCCAGGGTTGGCAATCCTCCTGCCTCAGCCTTCTGAATAGCTGAGATTACAGATTGGCGCCACCAAACCCCAGCCTCTTTCCTTTTTATAAAGGTCATTGTAACTCTGGTACATACAATTTAGTCTCTCTATTGATCTTTCCATCTGGTGTCTCAATTAAAGACCACCACAGTAAAGAATAGTTCTGATGTGCTCTCAGAAACTAGTGATTTTCAGAACATATCATGTAGGGCTAGTAAACATTGGTATTTCACTCCTTTTGATTGGAATTATAATACTGAGGCCAAAGCAAATAACATTCCACACAAAGGTAGTGGTTCTTGCAGGCCAATGATCGCGGGCAGACAAAGCCTTTTATTTCACTCTGCAGGCTCTATAAACATACATCTTCAAATAAATGCAAGATCTTGAGGCTAATCAATAACAACTAATAAATACTTTTGGACATATGCTCAAGGTAGTTTTAAAATGGAGATCTGAGGGATTCAGTGGAAGGGCTCCGCACTCCATGTGGCATTATGGTTAATCCTCTTGTTGTCAAAGAAAAAGGGTGGTCTAGAAAAGTGCTCATGAGCAAAACAAGTCAAATCAAGAACATCCTCCAACCTCCAACATCAAAACCCAAAACATGGGGGCTTAGCTGAGCTTACACTTTAGGCAAATCACTCTCATCCTTAAAACTATGCCCTAACAATAGATTGAAAGCATAATTATATTCATGGCAATCACCCCAAAGCATTCCATGAACTTATTTGTAAATAGTTTAATTTATTAAAATGGTGTTGAATTTACTTTGCTAGTATTTTGTTGAAGATTTTTGGGTTTATGTTCAGCAAAGTTACTGACCTACAGTTTTCTCTTCTTGAGTAAATGCTGGCCACTAAAACAAGTCTGGGAATGGACCATCCTCTTTAATGTCTTGAAAGAATTTAAGAAAAATTGGTTTAATTATTCTTTAAATATTTAATTGAATTCACTGTTTAGCCATTTGGTCCTGAGCTTTTATTTGTTTGGAGACTTTTTTATTTGTCAATCTTATTACAATTATTGTTCATATTTTCTATTTCTTCATGATTCAATCTTGGCAAGTTGTTAATTTCTTCTAGGTCATTTAATTCATTGGCATATAATTATTCAAAATAGTTTTTATGGATTCTATATATTGCTGAGGGCCATTGCTAAGTAAGAATGACGCATGGCATGACCCAGGTCATTTGCAGTGTCATTGCATGTAAGGTGACCTTGCTCAAGGATCAGGGTGGATCTGGGTTTAGGGCGGATCCGGGTTTAGGGCGTTCCCGGTTTAGGACAATCCGGGTTTAGGGCGGTTCCAGGTTTAAGGTGTACCCTGCTGGGAATAGGGCGTATCCTGCTGCCTCAGGCGCCCTGCTCGTTGAGTTCCCCTTGAGTTCTCGTTGAGTTCTCCTGGGATTCAGAGAGTATTTGGGATTTTGCCCAGAACGTGATTGGGGCCCGGAACGTGGATTTCCTGAGAACGTGTGTAGAGTGCTGGTGACAGTTCGAGAATAAAGAGTTGCTGTTTGAATCTACAAGGCTGTGTGGTGGCTTGTGATTTTGTGCCCAGCCAGACTGCGGCAGTATATCTCTGTGACATCCATTCTAGTGTCTTCTTTTTTGCTTTAAAATCTCTCTGATCTTATTTATTTGAGCCTTCTCTCTTTCTACTCAGTCTAGGTAAGGATTTGTCAATTTTTATTTATCCTTTCAAACAACCTGCTGCAAGTTTTTTCTATAATTGTTTTTTAAGTCTTTATTTCGGTTCTGATAATTTATTTTCTGCCTTCTGTTGGACTTAGTTCTCTTTGTAGTCCCTTCAGGTGTAAAGTTAGTCTGTTTATTTGACATCTTTTATTTTTCTTAATGTAGGCATTTATTGTTATAAACTTTCCTCTTCAGCTACTTTACTATATCCATAAGTTTCTTGTGGTATGTTTCCATTTCTCTTTTTCTCAAGATTTTTTGTTTTCTTTTGATTTCTTCTTTGACTCATTAGTTGCTCATAAGTGTGTATTTAATTTCCACAGATTTGTGCCTTTTGTAATTTTCCTTCTGTTGTTGATTTCTAGTTTCATATGATTTTCATCAGAACAGATGCTTGATGTGATTTTAATCTGTAGACTGTGTGCTTTGCTGTAACAGAGCACAGCAGATAAGAAAATTGACTCTCACAGAAGGCTACCTAGATTTGAATCCCAGATTTACCACTTGCTGTATCATTTTGGACAAGTTTCTAAACCTCTCTGTGCCTCATTTCTCATTGTCCCTTAAATGAACTTAATAATATCACTTACTTCATAAGCTTGTTATAAAAATTAAAATAAGATGCATAGATACATCCAGATACATAGTCAGGCTATGGAAGTGCTAGGAATTGACAGGAAGTGTGTTAGGGAAGGGACTGAGTCCAGGAACTCTGAATCCATATTGATTTGGCTTATTCCTGACTCTGTTGCATCTTTTATGAATGATGGTGGAAATACTTTTAGCCTTCTCTGCCTCTATTTCTTCATAGATAGGAGCTGTAGTATCTATTTATGTTATTGTTCTAGGGATTGAATGAATTAGTGTGAGTAAAGTGCTCAGAAGAGTATCTGCTACATGTTTCATAGATGCTCAATTGGGGGGCCACATTTTGTCTCTTTTGATTGATGAAGGGTCTGATATTTTCTACTTCATCTTGGGACCTCTTAGGACTTTTGATTCCCACAATCTTTTTAGTTCTTTTTCTCTTGACTGTGCTGCTTGGGATAACAATTTCCCCCCTTACTTCTGTAAATAGTGCCTTAAATTATCTTGCTAATTTTATGGTATGGCCTCAACAAACAGAAAAAAGAGAAAGCTCCAATAATATTTTAAAAATAGTTATCATGAATATACATAACACAGAAATATTGAGAATAAACTAATTTTATTTATTTACCAATTTTTATGAAGCACATCATATTGACTTGATTGTCTTTTCAGGAGACATTCTGGGTTCTATCATGCAAAACTTACAGAATTTTCTCCAGATGCCTTTTGGGTGTGGAGAACAGAATATGGCCTTATTTGCTCCTAATATTTACATCTTGGACTATTTGAATCAAACTGAACAACTCACAGAAGAGATAAAATCCAAGGCTATTGGATATTTGACCACAGGTGAAACATTTAAAAGCGCTATTTTGTTTATCCAAGTTAAATCTCTGAATCCCAGCTGTTTTGCTTATTAAGTACATAAATGTACATACACATATATACATACATATATATGTATATATGCCTATACATGTATATATTTATCCACATGTAATAAACATAACTATTCAATTAATCAAATTTTCCTTCTGGACAATTGCTTCTAAACTGAAAAATAGTAACTCTTTTCTTATTTTAGGATATCAGAGGCAGATGTCTTATAAACACTCAGATGGATCATATAGTACCTTTGGACATGAAGATCAACAAAAAAATACATGGTTTGAATTTATTATTTATATCAGCAGTGAACTAGATATTTCAAAATATGTCTACTTTTAAATGGATTTTGGAGATTTTCTAAAAAGTATGGGTCCTGTCCTCCAAAGTATCCACATTATTTTAATAGGACTCTTGAGCTCTTTGGTTAAACATTTATGGAATTTCTATCTTTTACTTACCAAAAGAATGAATAGCAAATAAGCAAATCATTAGACAATACACAGTCACTCAGTGGGACAAAATAAGGGATGGGAAATCACACTTATTATATAGCAAATTATTCCAATTGAAACATTAACATCTTCCAACTCACCTTCAAAGATAGGGCCAACATTGCTTGTGCTGACTTGTGATACTACTCAGAAATCATGTTGTATAGACATGTACTCTCTTAATGGCAAATGAAAAAAAAAAACCACTAATTTGATTAGAATAATAGTTGCCAAAAATAGTGCAATAAGAACCAATACAAAATAAATTAAGCATAGGTTGTGTTTTTATTGTAATATTATTCTACTTGTTTTAAATTTTATTCCCATACAATTAACTTTTAATTACAGACACATATTCACTCCTTGTTAATATGTCCTGAACATTAATATGGTTTTGAGATACAAAAAGATAAATAGTAATTAAAGTAATCATTGTTGTTTCTTTTATAATCGAGTATAATTAATCCCTGTAACAACCCAATGGAGCAGGTAACATTATAATACTTATTTTACATATGAAAAAATAGAAACAGTTTATTTATTGACAGGGCTACCATAACAAAGTGCCACAGACTGTGTGGCTTATCCTCTTACAATTCTGGAAGATGGAAGTCCTAAGGTCAGTGTGATGGCAGAGTTGATTCTCTCTCCTTGGCTCCCAAGTGGCTACCTTTTCTCTAGGTTTCCCTAGTCTTTTGTCTGTCTGCATCCAAATTTCCTTTTCCTTCTATAAAGACACAAGGCACGTTGGATTAATGCCTAAACAAATATTCCACTTTTACTTTGTTACCTCTTTAAAGACCCTGTCTCCAAATATGGTCACTTTCTGAGGTATTAAGTGTTAGGACTTCAACATATGAAAATGAGGAAGACACAGGGCAACCCATATCACAGAGAGGGTAAATATATTTTTCTAAATGTACTCTGCTAATTATGTGGTAGAATTTTAATGTCTTTCCAGAATCTGACCTTTTACCTGCTCTAATATTTTGCCCCTGAGTACTATATGATCTCTGACCTCAGAATGTTTGCAGTACACTGAGAAAGAAAATAAAGTACATTGGAACACAACATGGCAAAAGATGTAATAAAAATATACACAAACTGCCATGGTAGCTCAGAGGCAGGAAATGTTCCCCAGGAACTATATAATGACGTGTTTGTACACAATAACATGTTGATGAATCTGACCTAACACTTAACTGTAAGGAACACAAGTCTAAAAGGGAAAAGGATGCATATCTAAGTACACACCTTATTCATCATGTCTGGAGGAGCCATTTCAGGTAATCATCTGTGAGAACAAGTCACACATGCCTGAGCTTGACTGCTAATAGGTTTTCTTTAAAAAAAATATGTATTTATTTATTTTTTTATTTAATATATGACAGCAGAATGCATTACAATTCATATTACACATATAGAATACCTTTTTTCATATTTCTGGTTGTATACAAAGTATATTCACACCAATTCGTGCCTTCATACATGTACTTTGGATAATGATGTCCATCACATTTCACCATCATTTCTAACCCCATGCCCCCTCCCATTCCCTCCCACCCTATTTAGAGTTCATTTATTCCTCCCATGCTCCCTCTCCCTACCCCTACTCCCTACTATGAATCAGCATCCTTATATTAGAGAAAACATTCAGCATTTGTTTTTTTTGGAGATTGGCTAACTTCACTTAGCATTATCTTCTCCAGCTCCATCCATTTACCTGCAAATGCCATTATTTTATTCTCTTTTATTGCTGAATGATAATCTATTGTGTATATATGCCAAATTTTTCTATCCATTCATCTATTGAAGGGCATCTAGGTTGGTTCCACAGTTTAGCTATGAATTGTGCCACTATAAACATTGATGTGGCTGTGTCCCTGTAGTATGCTGTTTTTAAGTCTTTTTGGTATAAACTGAGGAAAGGGTTATCTGGGTCAAATAGTGGTTCCATTCCCAGATTTCCGAATTTCCATACTGTGTTCCATGTTGGTTTCACCAATTTGCAGTCCCACGAGCATGTGTGAGGGTGCCTTTTTCCCCACATCCTTGCTAACACTTATTGTTGTTTGTCTTCATAATAGCTGCCATTCTGACTGGAGTGAGATGGTATCTTAGAATGGTTTTTGAATTGCATTTCTCTAACTTCTAGTGATGATGAACATTTTTTCATATATTTGTTGATTGATCGTATATGCTCTTCTGAGAAGTATCTGTTCAGGTCCTTGGACCGCTAATAGGTTTACATAGGTATAACGTTCTGTAACTTCTTATTAAATTCGTAGACATTAAGCGAAGAGAAATGCAGGAAGTCTACTTTGGCTCAAGGTACAGATAAAAGAATCTGAGAATACATCATAGTGGAGATAACCCTTCATCTGGGACACATGATGAATGGGGAGAAAGAAAAGGAGGCATATGAGCCAAATGAGAGGACATTTGAAAAGGAAGCAGATACACTATGAGGCTAAAATTTGGGGAAGAAATTTTCAGGATGTGAAACTCAAAAATCCAGTTGTGTCCAATCATCTATGCTAATAAGAATGTTGTCTTCTTCTCAATGTTTATTATAAATATGCACCATATGTAATTTTTTTCCAGGCTCACTGCATTTGTATACAAGTCATTTGCACAGGCCAAACGCTACATTTACATTGATGACAAAATTCAATCTCAAACACTTATTTGGCTCTTAAGTATTCAAAAATCTGATGGCTGCTTCATAAATCATGGCAAAGTCTTCAACAATGCTTTGAAGGTATGCATGGAATTCTACCTTACAGTTTTCTATTCTTTCATCATGATCATTTAATGACTCCCAAAGTACCACTTCGGGAAATTTCTACTGTAATCAAACTGGAATTTCAAGTCACATAAATTAACTCTCAGGAAAACCAGTAATTTCTTTTTCTTTTCACAAATACATTATTTTGTTTCCATCAGTCAGATTTAAAACTAAAAGAATCTAACAGTAGTTGTGGGGCACTGTGGCAAGATGACTAAGAAAAGTATTAATGGAAATAAAAAAATGTAAGAGAACCCAGATAATTACCAATAATTTAATAGTTAATCATTTAAGAAATTATTCTTGGGCAGCTAAGGCAGGAGGATCACATATTTGAGGCAAGGAGGGCAACTTATGACTGGGGATGCAGCTTAGTGGTAGAGAGCTTGCCTAGTTTACATGAGGGCCTGGGTTCAATTTTATGAATAACACATGAATAAAGGTTTTTTCTTAACTTTTTAAAAATTATTAGAATTTAATTTGTTGAATTCTCACTTGTTAATATCCCCAAGGTAGTGTTAACAAATGAATTTGTCTTTTATTTCTGAGCTTTTCCTAAACTTGTATTTTCTTCATAATTATCATGTGTTTATAGTACATCACAGATTTAATATAATTATTAAATATAATAAATATAAATATAATAAATATAATATAACATTTACCCAAATATTATCCCTATGTCAACAACTCAGAAGTAGCCACTGTTTTGGCAATTGTTTCCTTCAGTCATTTCCCCAATGCTATATAAACATAATTTGGATTATTATGTACTGATTTTTTTAATCTTACTTTTTTGAAACCTAATTTGTACATAATGATTTGCCATTCCATTAGAATAACTTAAAATCATAAAATAAATATCTTTTTGTATACTCCATCATATGGATAAATCATCAATTATTAAATTATTTGATCTTCTTGTATTAAGTGAAAACAATAAATAAGTTGAATATTAAATACAAACTAAAGTTACATAAAAATTCTTATATGTTCTCCAATTTTATTAACTTAAGGAAAAATATCTACAAGTAAAATTTTTTGAAGTTCTAAAATGACACCAGACTGATTTTTAGTAAAGTTATGTCAATTTATATTTTCTCTATGTGGAGAGTGTCTATCTGAATCATAGTACTATCACTAAAACTGAGCAATATATGTATGAAAACAGTCTTCAAAAATGTAGGAACACAAAAAAACTGCTTTATCCTATTTCTGTTAACAGGTTAAACAATTTTTTTCACATGATTACTTTCCATTTATATTTTCTCCCTTGTAATTTTCATTTAATCTTTGGAGTATCTTAGATTTTATTTACTACTAGTATTATTGTATAATCTAAAAATCATTTATTTGTCTACTCTAAATAGTTTACCATTTGTAGTACCTCCTGATAATTACTGTTGTCTGGGCTTTCTGATTTTTGAGGCCATTTATATTGATGATGAAGTTCAGTCTCAAACTCTTATTTGGTTTCTGCTTTCTGTACTTGCTATGATTTCTTTCTGCTCTGCTTGTTTTGTTGATCAACATGCCTCTCTATTTTATGCTACACTCTTTTAATCATTGTAATATGTTAGTCTGCATTTTCCATGACACTTTCTAGGTTCTTTCTGGGGTGAGGATGAAGGAGAGAGTTGGGAGATGTTTGCAGAGCATCCTATGCCTCCTTTGATTTTAAATACATTTGTAGGACCATAATTTATTTTTCTAAGTTATGTTACTATTTCTATAAATGTTTTATATTTTCATGCACTATTTTCTAATTTATGAGAAGTATCTTTTGAGGATATGAAAATCTTTGCCCCCCAAATTAGGAAAACATGTACAAATCTGAAGTTTCCACAATACATTACATTTATTTTTCCATTCGTACATTACAATTATATGTAATAGTGGGTTTCATTATTCCATATTTGTACCTGCATATAATATAATTGGATCAATCTCATTTCCCTGTACCTTCCTTTCCCTCCTCTCTGCCCTTCACTATCTGCTTGATCTGATCTTCTAATTCTTCTAATTTTATTATTATTTTAATTGGTACATTATAATTATAAAGGCTGACAATACATTACATTTCAAAAGAAACGCTTCTTTTCCTCTGAATTTCATGAAACTGACATGATCATGTTTTATTCAGGGAGAAGATAATGAAATCTCCCTCACTGCATATGTCATCAACGCCCTGCTTGAAGCTGGTCATCCAGTCTCAGTAAGTTGCTCACAAGTGATACCACTAACTAGCTTCTTAAGAATTCAAAACTTTATGCTAACAATATAGTAATAGATCTAAAACTGTATGTTCAGAGCTATTGCAGAATACTGCTGAACCAATTTCCTTCTGTTAGATTTAAATACAAGGTGTTCCCAAAAGGTATTGTGTGGGATGATGCAAGAACATTCAAAGGTAAAATGATTAGATTATGAGAGGTGTAACCTGATTTGGCGCAGTCTGGCTGGGCACAATTCAGGAGCCACTTGTCAAAAGAAATGAACTTTATTTTTAGAACAAACAGACCACACCACACAGCTCCTCAGGAAAAGCCCTCAGAGCCCAACTGCCACCACCGGCTTCCCACAAGCCTCTCAACCTCCCCAACTCCTCCTGCTCTTGAGGCTGATTGGCTGGGTCGTGTAGGCGGAGCCAAAAAAAGTCCCCCAATGAGCAGTTCCTGGTCTGAAAGGGCGGGGAAACAGCCCAATGAGCATCCCCGCAGAGGAGCCAATCAATTGGCAGCTAGAAGTTTGCTCCGGCGGCTGTGAACCAGTCATCAGCTGGCAGCTGGAAGTTTGCTGGGGCCCCTTTGGCTGTGGCTCTCAACACTGATTGGTGCATTAGCTCACTAAAATGGATTAACTGGGTGGTGATTATAGGAAGGCAAGGTGTGACTGGTGAAGATGGGTCACTATGGATATGACTTTGGAATTCATATTTTGTCCTTGAGCAGAGCTCTCTCTGCTTAATTACTATCTTGTCCTGAGCTGCTTTACTCTAACAAGCCCTTCAACCATGATTGTTCTGCTTCATCTCAGGCCCATAGCTGACTGTGGGCTAACCCTCTGAAATCTTGAGCCAAAATAAACTTTTCCTTCTAAGTATTTATTTAAACAGTGATTTAATAGTCAAATCACACTGTTCAGGTAGAACTATGCAGATATTAAAAATAAATTCATTGAATTTCCCTTTGAACATTTCCGCACAAACAAGATTCATTCCTGATTTTTTTTCTGGTAAAAACACACCTACCTGTATTTGGACATATGTTTTCATGTGCAAAGATTTTTTCTTTTCCTTTCCTTTTGCAGTTTGTGGCAGTTCAAAAGGGTCTCCAGTGCATAGAGGCTGCATCTAGGAAGAGAGTTCTGACTATCTATGACCAGGCTCTTTTGGCCTACACTTTCAGTTTAGTACAATATAAAGACAAAAGAGAATTCCTCATCAATGAGCTGAGCAAGAAAGCAAAGAAAGCAGGTGAGTACCTTTGACATCTTTGGAATCACATGTTGAACAAGAACAATGGCTAGAAGGGGTATAATTAACATCTTTTCATGTTTCACTATTTCTAATTGTGGGGTTTGCACTCCCTTAGATATCACCGGTCCAGTTACATGCACATAAAATCCTGTACTTTGACATAGGTGCTATTGACTTCCCTTCACTTTTTTCTCAGGTGGCTCAGTGTATTGGGAACTGGAAGAGCGAATTTCTATGGAAGGCTCATCCTCTTTCTACTATCCTCAGTCTTCCTCTGCAAACATAGAGACAACCTCTTATGGCCTACTAGCCCTTCTTTCCAAGCCGAGGCTGACTTCAGAAGAGCTGTCCAGTGCTTCACAGGTTGTACAGTGGGTAGCAAAGCAGCAAAATTCCTATGGAGGTTTCTCCTCCACGAAGGTAACAATATCTTTTCTAAATCTCTAAGAAAACTGGGCACATACTTGGCCTTGGCAGTGTTGGTCTTTTAATGTATAAATTATATTTTTCCTGCAGGTGGTGGGGGAGTGGGGGTTGTGGCTCAGCGGTAGAGCGCTCACCCAGCACGTGCGGGGCCCTGGGTTCGATCCTCAGCACCACATAAAAATAAGTAAATAAAATAAAGATATTAAAAATATATAATTTTCCAATTAAATTTGTTATCACTATTAAGCTTGCTATCCTTATTTCACCTGTAGCTCATAGTAATCTTTAATTGGTATACATTAATTGTACAGAATAGTGGATTTCAATGTGGTATGTTCACACGTGCCTATAATTTTTAAATTTGCTGTGTTTCAGGTTTGGGGAAATATTTTCTCTAGTAAGAACTGCAAGTATTTATTCAAAAGATAATTAGCTTTTATTTTTTTCTGTATAGAAGAAAGCCTTTTAATGCAATAGCTTAACACACAGTTCAACAAATTCAGTCAGTTCAAATTAACTTCAACATATTACAAAGAACTAAGAAGCCTGGAGGGGCCACCACTTTGGGGAGGAGGGTGGGGAGGCGAATTGCTTCCCAGAATGGAAGGATACTGACCTCAAGGAGGCCCCTCTCCCCATCCCAAGAGGTGTGTCCATAACCATTGGGCTCTTGCAATAGCTTAGGTACCTCCATGCAGAAGGCAGCAGCACAGAGTCAAGGGCAGAGCCATCTAAGGATCACAGCTCTGTCTTCTCACCAGAGCAGGGCCTTGAAAAAAGGCACTGGGGCTGACACAGAAAACTGTGCCCAAGACAGGGTGGTGACAGCAGCTGCAGCACTGGAGAACCAGCTCAACAGACCACTTTGGGTGTAGGTGGGCCAGGGATTTTAGCTTCTCCCCCACCTCTACCCAGGAGCTAAGTTCAGATTAACTGCAGAGAGGTGAGGTCTGATGCAGCTACAAAGGCAGCATTCAATCTGCAGCACACTTGAGGCAGGGACAAAGCCAAGTACTTTGCTGTTGAGGACATGCTTGTCTGATATGCTAGCTAACTGAGGCAGCAGGGTGGGAACAGGGCTCTAGCTTCACACTCAGCTCTAGCAAGGCCCTTTGTGGTGAAACCATGTCTGTGCTTGACTATGCTGGCTTAACTTGAACAAGCAAAGCCTCTCAAAGGTGGAGGCCACTGCTGTTGGAGGGGCTGAGGATGGTATTTCAAAGCTCCCTGTGGGGCATGCTAGGTTTCGGGGTGGCTGCAGGGCAGGACACCTCTGGCTTCTCTGGGAAGGTTTGACAAAAGATTCCTGCTGCCCTTTAAGGTTTTATTTCAGTTTCTGGTTAACTTCCTGCCTTAACATCTGTGCAGGGCCATTCCTGGGCTCAATTTGTAGGAGGCTGCTAATGTCTGCAAGGCTGGATTTATAGTCCTTGAGTGACTTGTAGGCTTGAGCCCGTCTGTACAATGCTCTCATGTTCTTGCCATCCAGCTTGAGGGCTTCTGTGCAGTCCTTCACTGCCTCCTTGTCCTGATTCAGGACCAGTGAAGAGTGCTCTGTGGCTCTCCGTGGTAGATTCCAGGTTACTAAACAAGAGGCTTTCATTGTACTTCTCAATAGCTTTCTTATGGTTGCCCTTCTTTACAAGCTCATTGCCTTCTTCCTTCAGACCTCTGGCTCACTCCACATCCCCAGCAGAAGGCACTGTGCTCTTTGTAGTTTCGTTGGATTTGTTTTTGGTTGTCTCTTTGTTTTCTGAAGGCAAGGAATTCCACCTCTTCTGGTCTGAGACAGGCACCACAGGGATAGAGCGCAGCTTCAGGCGCCACTCAGGCCCAAGTGAATCCATGAGAGCTCTGGTCATTCTGTTGATGCCTTTCAGGGCTGACGCCACACTGTTATCAATTTGCAGTACAGTCTTGTAGTCGACATAGGCCCGAGGATACTTCTCTAGGGCCTCATAGGCAGATGCTCGCCGCAGCAGAGGCTTCATGCTGAAAGGAACCAAGGCCAATACTGAAGTGCAGTCTTTGATGCAGTCTGTGCATTTTCCATCCTTTAAGTGGCATGCTGCTTCATTGGAGTAGAGAACACTCTCTTCTTCAGGGTCTGAAGAACCTCGCACCTGCAGCAACCTCAGCGCGCCGCAGTAGAGCGCTGAGGCCTCCGCGTACTGGCCTTTGCGGAAGCTCTGGTTGCCGATGGCGCGGAGCCCCTCCACGGAGTCTGGGAGTTTGGAGGCCATCCCGGGGCCTGGCGGGCACACAAGGCTTTATTTTTTTATTATTTATTTTATTTTTTTATTTTTTATTTTATTTTATTTTTTTTTGAGAGAGAGAGAGAGAGAGAGAGAGAGAGAGAGAGAGAGAGAGAGAGAGAGAGAATTTTTTAAATATTTATTTTTAAGTTTTCGGTGGACACAGCATCTTTATTTTATTTTATGTGGTGCTGAGGATCGAACCCAGTGCCCCCCCACATGTCAGGGGAGCACCCTACCGCTTGAGCCACATCCCCAGCCCAGCTTTTAATTTTTAAAAGTGGAATTTTAAAATAGGAATATCTACATGCTAAAAATTTATATTTAAAATTAAAGCCATAATTTTATCAAAAAAAATTGTATCAATGTTTTCTTGTTAGCAATGAGAATCTTTCTCTAATTGCAAAATCATTGGCCAAATCTCTTTTGATCTGATACAATAAAAGTGACCACTTATTCGCTGTAAAAATACATATCCATGGTTTCTACTTATATATTCTTTCCTCTCTTAGTTCTCTTATTTCACGTGTGTTTAGTCTCCTGGTCACATTTCATTTGCATGTTTTCTAATAGGAGTATTCATCTTTTTCTTGATACTTTTTAAGATTTCTGAATACAATAAAAGTATCAGTCATGCTGATGTATGTGATATCCTTTCCAGGTTTCTATTTTTCTTTCAAATTGTGTAATACTTTGGATAAATAGGTTTTTTTTTCTTTTCATTTTTAATTAATTCTATAATGTTGTTTAAAGATCTCACTTTAATAGTAGGCTAAGAGTAACAACAAAGACAAAATAAAAACTATATAAATATATGTCCATACATTTATGGATTAATTACATTTAATTATTAATTAATTGCTTTCAATTATAAATTAATTTATGATATTTTGATATAGACATATGGTAGAGACATAACTTGTTTTTTTTTAAATTTTTGAGTAACCAGTTGTCTCAATGTCATTTATGCACTAATTAATCTTGCTACTTATTAAAAACACTGCTTTTATTGGAAAATAAAATTATATATTCTTGTCATTTTAGGCTTCTCATTTTTTTCACTAACTTTTAGCTTTTTATGTTTTAATATCTGGTAGTCTGACTCAGTAGGCATTTTAAAAATTTCCTTATTTCTTCTCACATGTGTTTTATATTAGATGACAATTTTGTCTTCATGAAAGAGTAGGATGGAAATGTTGCCATAAAACTCATTTATTAGTTAGGTACTGGGAATTGAACACAGGGACGCATTACTACTGAGCTACATCCCTATTTTAATCAGCTTTTATGCTGCTGTGACTAAAAGACACGACCAGAAAAATGTTAGAGGAATAAAAGTTTATTTGGGGGCTCATGGTTTCAGAGACTGTCCATAGACAGTCCACTCTATTCCTTGGAGCTCAAGTAGGGGCAGAACATCATGGCTGAAGAGTGACAGAAAGAAGCAGCTCACATAATGATCAGAGAGCAGAGAGAGAACTCTCCACTTGCCAAATACAAATATATACCTCATGTCCCCAGGGCCCCACCTCCTCCAGCCATACTCCACCTGCCTTCAATTACCACTCAATTAATCCCATCAGGTGATTAATTCACTGATTGGGTTACAGCTCTCATAACCCAATCATTTCTCCTCTAAACTTTCTTGCATTGCCTCACACATGAGTTTTTGGGGACACTTCACATCCAAACCACAACAATCTCCAGTTCTTTTCATTTTTTATTATTAAGGTATTATTAAGATGCTGAGGACCTCCCTACATTGTGCCTGGAACTTGTAGTCCTCTTGCCTAAGCCTCCAGAGTCACTGAAATTACTGATGTACACTACTACACCTGGAACAAACAAACAAAAAACAAAAGCATTTATTTTTGATAAATTATACAATATTCAAGACAATATAGTTCACAAAACAATGAAAAATTAACAAAAATTGCAGTAGCTTTTAAAATCATTTTTGAATGAATCACAGCTATATTTGACTGTGATTTCTAAGTCCTATAATATGCTCTAATAGAATCCTGTCATTATTATTTTAGGATACTGTTGTGGCTCTCCAAGCTCTAACTCTATTCCAAAGGCTTACTTATTCTAAGAACAGACAAAATTTGGTGCAAATTTCCTCTGACAAAGCATTCAATATGGCCTTCCAAGTGAATGAAGAGAACCGATTGCTGCTACAACAAATTCCATTACCAGAAATTCAGAAAAACTACACTGTGGATGTGAGTGGTGATGGCTGTGTGTACATGCAGGTAAATCTGGACTTTTTCCCCTATTTATCACAATTGTCAAATACACATGAAACTAAGAAGTGTAGTATAGCCAATATCCAGATCAACGTTGTTCACATTTTTTTCTATTTGCTTTACTTGTTTTTTCTTTTTTAGCTGAATTTTAAAGTAAATTAGAGGCATCATACCACTCCTAAGTATATTATAATGCAGGTCCAAAATGTTCCATTGTTTGGCCTCAATGCCATTATCACAACTAGCACAAGAGCATAATAGTTTATAATATAATTTAATTACCACCAAATCTGTTTTGTAGGTCTTTTCTTTTTCAAACCAGATTCAATCACGGAAATGCTTTGCAATTGTTCATTGTGCTTCATAAGTCTCTTTTAACTTAATAGATCTATCCAGTCTTTTATATTTTTGTGTGTGTGACATTAACTTTTTGAAGATTCAGACTATTTGTGTTGTAGAATGTCCTTCATTCTGGATTTATCAGATTGTTCTCTTTGGGGCATTATTTAATTTGTTGCCTCATTACCTGTGTTTTCTATTAACTGAAAGTTAATCTTGTATTCATTTTGCTCACATACAGAAATATATCACTCTTGATGTTATTATGTTTTACCATTAGCTGAACACCTTCAAATAATGGCCAAATTTCTTCTGCTGTTTTATTTTCTGCTTTGAATCTACCAATTAATATTTAAAATATTACATTGGAACCATGCAAAAGTCAATTTTTGTATCAATTTTCATCAACATGTCTTAACATACATTGAAGATCTTTGCCTATATAAGATATTTCAATAAGGGCTAGGAAGTGGTGAATATTAATTCTAACATACCTTCTGTTTTTATAGCTGGCATTTTTATACAATATAGATATGACAGAGTATATATAATAAATTAGGTATTAATGGACATTTAGATTATTTTTCTTCTTTCACTATTACATATAGTATTGTAATGAATAATATATGTAAATTACTTCAAACTTGGGCAAATGCAACTTCAGAATACATTTCTATGAGTGTGATTATTAGGTCAAATTAAATCTTTAACTAAATGTATTTCCAAATCATGTTATTATTGATTTTGATTCATAATGTTTTTATTCATTTAATACAGGTATTCTCCTTAATCTTGTAACTCTTGCATTATAATATTAGCTGTTTCTTACAACAAAAATCAGATCATTTTAATTATTTCCTCAAAGATAGTATGGATATAATTTAGCTATGCTATTGCTTAGCTGTGTAAGGTTTGAAAAGTTAGTAATCTCTCTGAACCTAATTTCCCTTTTTACAAAGTGAAGACTAAAGTAGCAATGGATTAACTGGGCCATTGGAAATAATTAGTTATTACATAAAAAGCACTTAAAAGGGAGTACATAGTATATGCTCAATAAATGTTAATTTATCATAACTACTATTACCAGTGGCATACAAAATAGGAAGCACATAGGTTCAAATTGATTTTTAAATTAATTTTAAACTTCAATAAGGAGGTAATAAATGAAAACTTTTTATTGATATGTAAAATATTCTATGTTTATTTAAGACAACTCTGAAATATAATATCCTGCTGCCCAAGAAGTCATCTGGGTTTTCCCTTTCTGTAAATACAGCCAATGCTTTCTGCAGAGGATTATTTGATTCAAAGTTTGATCTTGTGGTTTCAGCCAGGTAATGACATTTTTTATTTTGTTGGTAAATTAAGATGTGTCTCTACCTCTAATAAAGATAGCCTAGGTTTTCTTCCTGCCTTCAGGTAAAACCATACCCCAATCTTTTTATGAAAAAAGTTGGCCTATTTCTGTTATCTAGGGAAATATATTTTATCTTTTTTAAATTACCAAAATTGTGTGCAATAAACTAGATAAAAAATAAATATGGCTTCAGAAACATTGAATAGAAGACAGAAAAGAGAATTGTACAAAAAAGTTTTATAAATTTCTCTATAATAATTGTATTCCCTCCCAGCCACTTGGGAGGCTGAGAAAGGGAGATCACAAGTTCAAAGCCAGCCTCAGCAAAAGGAAGGCACTAAGAAACTCAGTGACAAGTTAGTTATCTCTCTGAACCTCATTTCCCTCCTTTACAAAATGAAGACTAAAGTAGCATTGAATTCACTGGGCCATTGGAAATAATAAGGTATTACATAAAAAGCACTTAATATGGAATACATAGTATATGCTCAATAAATGTTAATTTATCATTAAGCAACTAAGCAACCCTGTCTCTAAATAATATACAAAATAGGACTGGAGATGTGGCTCAGTGACCAAGTGCCCCTGAGATCAGTCCCCAGTACCAGAAAAAAAAGCAAGAATTGTATTCCTCTCAAATTTCTATTTCATAAATTAACATTTATAGCATATTGTAGTTCTTACTTTGGGAACTCCAAATTCCAAAACAAGAATATTACTTGGGTCCACTTTCTATGTCCACTTGGAAATGGATTGAAATGTATGTTGTTTCATTTTGGAATGCTACTAATTTCAGTTTATTCTGATGGTTTAGTCTCAGAACAATAAATGTAAATATATTTTATTGGTAAACTGTTTTCTTAAATAATGATCAACACTTATCTGAGTTTTAAATTTTGTATTTTTTAAAAGTTATTCTGGAAGGCACAACTCTTCCAACATGGCAATCATTGATGTGAAGATGCTCTCAGGATTTGTACCTGATAAATCTTCAGTTGAGAAGGTAAAGAATTAAATGCTTTTATTTAAAAGAGCTTCAGAATAGCTATAATGTATTTCTCTGTTTATACATTTGTCATAAATTGATGAAAATACAACACATATTCTATTCTTAAGGAATAAAGATTAAATCACATATATATCCGATAGTACATTATTCAAAGTTCTCAAATTTATTTGAATTCAGCTAGTATCACACTCAATGGTGAATAAAAATTGAAAGCTTTCTCTTGAATATGTGAAACAAGACAAGGATGCCCACTCTCACCACTTTTATTCAATGCATTACTAGAAGTCCTACACAGAGCAAAAAAAAAAAGTCAAGAAAGTAAATAAAAGGCACCAATTAGGAAGCAAGAAGTGAAATTCTCTCTCAATGTTGGTGACATGATCATACAAAAGACTCAGCAAAACAAAAAACAAAAAAAACAACTGTTAGAACTGATAAACAAATTCAGTAAAGTTATAGATTAAAGATCAATGTACAAAAATCAATAGAATGTTAAAATACTAACAACAAATTATCCGAAAAGGAATTTAATTTATAATAGCGTCAAAAATAAATGAAAATCATGGCTGGGGTAGTGGCTCAGTGGTGGAACACTTGCCTGACTTGTGTGAGGCACAGTGTTTGATTCTCAGCACCACATATAAAGATCCATTGACAACTAAAAAATATTTAAAAATAAATAAATAAATGAATGAATATATATATATATATATATATATATATATATACTTAAGAGTAAATGTGACCAAACAGGTAAAAAAAAATCTGTACATTGAAATTATATAATATTGATGAAAAAATTGAAGGAAACACAAAAAAGTGGAATTATCTTTCATGTTCATAGATTGAAAGAATTAATATTGTTAAAATACCCCTACTAACCAAAGCAGCCTACAGATTCAGTGCAATCCCTTTCAAAATTCTAATGGCATGCTTACTAAAAATAGAAAAAAAAATTCTCAAAGTTTTGGGAACCAGGAAAAACTCTAAAGAGCCAAAACAATCTTGAGAAAAAGAACAAGGGCAGAGATATCAACTCCTCTTTAATTTCAAAACTTATGAGAAAACAATTATAATCAAAACAGCATTGTATTATCATAACAACAGACATACTGACCAATAGAACAAGACAGAAACTTAAAAATATACCCAACTAGAATCAGTTGATTTTGGGCAAAGATGTGAAGAATACACATGGGAAAGGACAGTCTCTTTAATAAATGGTGCTGCTGAGAAAATTGAATATCTACACACAGAAAAAATGTAATTGGACCTTTGTCTCATACCATATATAAAAATCAACTCAAGATGGATGTCAGATTCAACAGCTGAGGTACTAGACAAACACCAGGGAAAAACTTCATAACATGGTCTGGGTAATGATTTCTTGAACAGAACTGAAAAATTCAGGCAACAAAAGCAAAACCAGGCAAATAAGATTGCATCAAACTCACAAGCATCTGCACAGCAAAGAAAATAATTAGAAAAATGAGGAATTATACCCCATCAATTTATGATATATCAAAGTACATAAATGCATTCTACTGTCATGTGTTACTAATTAAAACAAATAAAAATTTCTTTAAAAAAGTGAAGAGATAACCTATAGGATGGGAGAAAATATTTGCAAAACACAATCTGATAAGGGGCTGATATTGAAATTACATAAGAAACTCAAACAACTCAGTAGCAAGAAAACAAATAATCCAATAAAAAACAGGCAAAAAATTTGAAAAGACATTTCTCAAAATAATAGATATAAATGACCAACAGATAGATAAAAAATTCTCAAGACATCTAATCATCAGAGAAATACTAATTAAAACCACAGTGAGCTAATACCTTCCATATGTTAGAATTGCCATTATCAAAACCATGAATGATAACCAATTTTGGCATTGATGATGCAGAAGTAGTGCCCTTGTACATTATTGGTGGGAATATATTACTGTTTAGCCATTTTGGAAGAGAATGTGGGATTTCTTCAACAAACAAAATAGAATTACTGTACAGTCCAACATCCCCACTTCTGGGCAAATATGCAAAGGAATTGAAATTGGCATATCAAAGGGACATCTGTACTCCCATGTTCATTTCAGCATTATTCACATTGGCCGGAATAAGGAAGCAGCTTATGTGTACAACAGCAAACAAATGGATAAAGGAAATGTGGTTTGTGTGTACAGTAGCATATATGTAGAGTGGAATGCTAAACTCTAAAATAGAAATTCTGTCATTTGTAACAATGTGGATGAAACTGGAGGATATTGTGCTAAATGAAATAATCCAGGCAGAGAAAAAAAATACCATATGATCTCATTTATATGTGAAATCAAAATTTTAAAATGTGATGTCATGAAAACAGAGTAGAATGATTTGGACCAGAGTTTTGGGGCAAGAGGAAGAGCTAGTAAAAGAAAAGATGTTGATCAAAAAGTACAGCCTTTCAGTTATACCAGAGGAATAAGTTGTAGTGACATATGGAACTACAGGTAGACCATGATTATTAATACTGTATGTTTTAAACCTGATGGAGGGATAGAGAAGTTGGTGCAATAATGAATATATTAGCTATTTTATTTGAATCTTTCTACAGTGTATAGATAGATAAAAATACCATAATGTACTCTTTAAATATGCACAACTATTATTTTCCAATTAAAAATAAATTTATATTGAAGTTGAAAAGGTAAGTTAGTGTTTAGTTATTCTATTCTATTCTATTATTCTACTTAATATGTTTTTTTTTTTTAGAAACCAATATTATATAGAAAGATCTCTCAAAAATGTTGAACAAATGATACCCAAAGATTAGTATTTATTGTTGAAGCTACATGGAAACTTCACAAGTATTTATAAAGATGCAAGAAAATTACCAAATTAAAATTAAATATTTTTATCTTTGGATTATAAGTTGTTCATATTTCTAGTCCCCTAAATGTTCAGTATACTTTTTTGCTTTACTTTTAGCTTCAAGAAGATGGCAAAGTACAACGCATAGAAATCAAAACTACACATGTGTTTTTCTACTTGGAGAATGTAAGTTTAATATTATAATTTGATTTGGCTGTTGGTGTATATGCTACAGGCATAATTGGTTTTTATTTTTTATGTTTTTTTTCTATTTTCCTATGGGTATAAGTACCAAAAGAGCATTGTTTTATCTTTGCTTTTGTTTGTTTTGTTGTTGTTGTTACTTTCATTGTAGTTCCATTTTGTTTTGTTTTTGGAGGTGCTGGGGATTGAAACCAGGGCCTTGAGCATGCTAGATGCTATCAGTGACCCACATCTCCACCTCACCAAAAGAGCATTTTAAAAATAATTCTAAATATTTGAAATGGGGAAAAAAGTGAAAAATATGCTTTATATACTAAAAATATTCATTTATTCCTAGGTTACTCAAAAGGAAATTCAATTCTCATTTTCCATTGAACAAGATGCACTTGTATCCAACATCAAGCCTGCATCTGTCCAGCTCTATGATTACTATGCAACTGGTAAGAATTTTACTTCATTTGAGTGCCATCATATTCTGCATTTAATTATACATAAGCCAATTATTGCTTTCTCCACTTATAGTTTCTCTTTTTGAAAACTTCACTTGTTATTTGGTGTTTTTAAACATTGCATATCATCTAATACCAAGTACTTCAGAGTTTTAATAGCTAACATGTACAAAAGTTCATTTACAGACCATGGATAACATGTACCAAAGATCATGTACAAAAGATCATACCTGAAAACACTTAAGAATGATCATATACATTTGTACAAAAGTCATAGGAATAAAAGTATATCTGACAGTTATCAATCAAAGAAGTTGTTATAGTAGCATAGGTGTATGAGAGCTTATTTATGAACAGATAATAAAGATGTTTTCTTCTTAAACAATGTTGTAAGACTGTTTCGAGTAACAATTTCTCTCTTCCAGATGAATTTGCAGTTGCAGAATACAACACACCATGCAAACAGATATCTTTTGAAACCTTTTAGTTCTCAGAGAAGTGAACTGTGATGGAAAGGAAGACACCTTAGAATTGGGATTTATGTTAAGAGAACATTTCCACTGTTTCAACCAAAGAAAAGTTTCAGAATGTGAAACTTGAACAGTGCAGCACTTGTTCAAGTTCTCCCACCCACAGCATTCTCCTTCAGTCACTCCACCACCAATTTCATTCTTTCTGCTTGAGGACTTTTTCCTGAAGTCCTGGTAGCCAGCTTAGCCTGTGTACAATTTAAAATGGGAAGCACAGGCTTAATGTTTCCAAGAGCAAACTTCAACTAGCAGAGATTAACCACTGGACAAATGCTCCTGCTTTTACTCAGGGAACTCCGGGGTCATTCCACATGCTTCTGGTAAAATCACCTTGAAACCAGTGTAAGATCAGGCAAGGCAGCGACCAAAGGAGGCAAATTTAAAAAGATCTCCGAATGAGGCTTTATTTGAGATATCATTCCTGGGCGGAACTTGATCAGACCGACAGAAACTGGAGAAGGGTCTGAGGAGAAACCGCTCGACCGGATTTGGATTTTATGGGGCTTAGGCAGAAAGGGAGGGGCTTGAAACAGGAAAAGGTGTTTTTAGAGTCCCTAGGCCCGCTGGAGTTGGTTGAGGGAGATGGCTGAACTCCAGGATTGGCCAGTGAGTCCTGATGATTGACAGGCGTCAGTCAGGAGATCCCGCTGATTGATAGGCTTTCTGTGGGTGCCTGATAGATGTTTTTTCCTGAGTGGGCTGCTTTGTTCTAAGTCACCGCCACTGATCTGACAATCAGCATTTCATTTTCTCATGAATTGGCCTCTGTAGATACAGTTTCTTAAATTAGCTCTTTTGCTTTCTTACACAATCTCCTGATCTCTCACTGTTGTTTCCTGGGATCACCTCTGAAATGAATTATCTGCACTCCAGTCCTTGCTTCAGATTCTGCTTTCAGAACAAAGAAAATGTACCACAGCAATCACTGAATAACTACGTAAAATGTTTTGTTAGGTATGAAATATCTGTG